CCTGTGGTTTGGGGGTGCTGGCAGCTGTGAGCTCCAGCGCCTGCCCAGAGCACCACACACCCCGTGCTGAGGTTTCCCCCCTCGCTTGGGGTCTGCAGGGGTTGGTTTTGCAGTATTTATTTTGCAAATGCACCTTTTGGTGGCTTTACTGATGCGGTCGGTCCCTCCTGTGCTCTGTGCCTGCCCCCCCAGCTCCTGCTGCTGCTGCACCCCGTGTTGGTATCCAGACCTGGTGCCACCAGCTCCTCTGAAGCCTCTTGAGCACGGAGAAGTAGGGGTGTCCTGCCAGCCAGGAGCCCGTGCTGGGGAGGGCTTTGGTCCCATTGTGGCCGGGGAGCTGCCAGCAGGGCTGGACCCCGCTGTGGGGCAGCACGGGGCTCCTGGGAAGATGCTGCACCCCAGGGTGCTGCAAACAACAGGGACCCCAGGTGTGTTCCCTCGGCTCCTTTCCAGCCCTTAAAACACCCATTGATCTCCTTCCACGGGGCTGAGCACCTCGACAGATGTGGCAATATTGACTTAACCTGGGTAAGAAGCTCTTGAGCTGCTGCTGCTGCAGGAGGGGAACAGGAGAGGAGCATGTTTTGTGCAATGAGATGACATTTTCCTGGCAAGCCCTTCTCAGGCATCCCACACCCTGCTCCACCCTGCACTAGCCCCACCACCCCGGCCGAGGCCAACCCCACTGCTGAGGGGGCAGGATGGGCACCAACTGCTGGGGTCTTGCTCCTGTGCCATGGGCTTGGCCATCCCACTGCATCCCACTGTCCCACCCACACAGCCCATCCTAATTTGGGATAGATGAAGGCTTGGTGGGTGAAGCAGGAGCATCCCCCTCCCTGCATGCCCCAAAAGGCACCATGGCAGTGCTGAGGGGCTTTGGGGACCCATCACAGCAGAGAAGCCAAGCCAAGCCCTGATGGCTATTCAGAGGTGTTTCTCAATGAAGAAATTTTGGATTAAGCTTTGGCTGGAGGATGGGAGGGGGAAAAGCGGCACAACAGTTTGGAAATTTCTTCCAAGAGCTCAGCGGAACACAAACAACAGCAGATTAGCCAAAACCTCATTTATTTTCTGGGTGGGACTCTTTGACAGCCCTCGGAGGGCCCAGCTGAGCTGCTCATCCCCACGGCAGGGGTTTGGGGTGGGAAGGGAGTTCCCGCTTCCAGGCAGCGCAGGAAAGCAGGGCACCGAAACACCTCCGCGCTGCCGCTTCCTCCTCGCGGCTCCCACGTGTGCAGGAATGTGGCTCTGCTCGTTCCTGGCTGCTCCTGTGCCGGGCGAAACCTCCCTCAGCTCCGTTTGGGGCCGGCTGTGCTCTGAAATCAGCAGCCAGCCTGGCCCCATCCCACAGTCCCCCAGAGCCCTCCTTGGCTTTAGACGAGTCCTGTGGGATGTGGTGGCTTGAAAGACCAAGCTCAGGGTTCCTCAAGCTGTGAGAGATAAACAGAATAAAGCAAGTGCATCACTCCCAAGTGGAGCTGAAGGATGGGAGAGCTCCTGTCCCGGCAGGGAAGTGGCTTTTTCTGCTGCACTTGCTGGTTTGAGCCCAAGTGCCATCAAGGGAGTTAAATATTGAACAAACACCAAGCGAAAGCGGGTGCAGGCAGCCAAGCAAAACAAAGGCTGAGAGAGGCCGGTGCTCTGACTCATTTGGCATGAAAATGCAGCATGGAATAAATTAACTTTGGCTCTTCCTCATCCTCTGGGCACGATGCGGAGCAGAAGGGCCCTGTTGTCACCGGCGCTGTGGTGGCTTTGGGGAGCTGGTGCACACAGCAGGCATCGAGGAGGGGTAGGGGAGCCAAACTGGAGGGGTACAGACAGAAGGTCCCTGTCCTGTGTCCCCAGCCATGGCTTTTGGAAAGGCACTGAGCTGGTGCTGGTGGTGCCAGGATTTTAAGATCACAGTGTGCTCTCTGCACCTGAGGCAGCAGCAGCTGCTCCTGGTCCTTATTCTCCTGTCTTATGAAGGGATGGGGAAGGTGTGTGGGGGTCCTGGATCCCCAGTGGGGATGTCATCATCGTCATCATCATCATCATCAAATCGTCATCAAATCATCATAGAGCGGTTTGGGTAGGAAGGGACTTAAAGCTCATCTAGTACCCCCTCCCATGGGCAGCAACTAGCTGCCTTCCACTAGCTGAGGTTGCTCCAAGCCCTGTCCAGCCTGGCCTTGAACACCTCCAGGAGCATCCACAGCATCTCTAGTGTCCCGTCTACCTCCACAGTGGCACAGTGCTGCAGCCCTGGGCACCCATGCAGGAACACTGATCCTGGCTGGACTGACCCATGGCCAGGACCACTGTCACCGGCTCCCCAGAACACATCGAGAGCGAGAAAAAGGTCAGGGCTTCAGTGCAGGCTTTGGCCCGTGATGTAAAGATGGGGAATTTCCAGGGTGTAATGTTTGCATCGGTATAAATATGCAGCTGGAGCGCACCCAGGGGCAGCTGCCTCTGATGGGCGAGGGAGATAATGCCCTGCTTCCGCCGGCACGGAACTCTCGGGGGAAAGGGCAAGGCAGGGCCTGGCTCCGCAGCGCGTCGCCGTGATTCACCCTCCCCGAGCCGCCTGGGGGATGCTGTGACCCCCGGGGCTGTGGCCAAGGGGGACACACATCCGCGGGGTGTTCTGCGGGCTCCCGGCAGATGCAAGGAGGGCGCTGGGAATGATGCCCCCGGTGCACGTGGTGCCTCGGCAGAGCTGGACCGCTGGCACCAGGGCAGGCTCGGGGTGGCCTCGCCGTCCCCGCGGCTGCTGGGTGCTGTCCTGCCCCGGAGCGGGGTGACACTGCCTTTGACAATCCCGACCGGTGAGACTGGGAGAGGCCGGCCCAGCCCTGCTCCGGCCGCGGCACCGGCACCCCGTGCCCGCCCGCTCCCGGCGGTTTCGGCAAACCCAGCTGCCCGTCCTCCCCCGGCGGCACAAACCAGTCCCGGGGCTCACACCCGGCACCGCCCGGCCCGGGTTGCGACAGTCCTGGGAGCTGCAGGCTTGTCCCCCTCCAGCCCTCCTCGGTAGGGGGGTCACTGGGTGGGTGGTCGTGCACCCCAAACGCCCCACGGGATTCTCCGGTGGATGGGGGTCCTGGCCAGGGGTGCATTGCAGGCCTGGGGCAGGGTGTAAAGCAGAGCTCCACCCTGAAGGGGGGTAGGGACAAAGTGGTGGCTGTTCCGGGTGGAGGACTGTGCCTCTTTCAGGGGACGTGTCACCGGGCTGGGAGGCGACAGGTGAAAAGGATTTTGGCACCGGCGCCTCCCGCACAGTCACTCGGAAAGGATGCCGAGCGGGATCAGCCTTAATTCACCCCCTTCTCTCGCAGGAGCGCCCGCAGCCTGTCACCCCGGGCACGGGCACATCCTCCTGGGCGGCTGCCGGTGCCGCGGGGCTCCTCGCCCCGGGCCCTCCCTCCTCTTTGTCACAGCGTGTGTGGCGCGGGCCGGGGTGGCTCACTCACCCCAGACATCGAGGTCTCCCGATTCATGTTCCGTGCCCTGGCTGGATGTGTCACCAGCCACCACCAAGTCCCCAAAGCCCTGCCATGCCCAACACCCATGGGAGGCCTTGTCTTGGGGCTGGACAGACAGATTGCCACCATCTCTGCCATCCTGTGTTTTCCTCAGCTTGTCCCCAAGTGTCCCATCCTGAGCAAACTGTCTCAAGGGAGGGTCAGGTTGGATCTCAGGGAAAGGTTCTTCCCCCAGAGGGTGGCTGGCACTGAACAGGCTCCCCAGGGCAGTGGGCACAGCCCCAAGGCTGCCAGAGCTGAAGGGACGTTTGGACAACGCTCTCAGGGACAGGGTGGGATTGTTGAGGTGTCCTGGGCAGGGCCAGGAGTTGGACATCTTTGTGGGTCCCTTCCCACTCAGGATATTCCATGATTCTATGTCCCAGCATTATCTGGAGCTGGGGGGAGCTTTGAGCACAGGACTTGGCCCTGGTGGGGCCGGAGGCTTTCCCAGGCCATGCAGGATGGAGACAGACAGATGCATTTCATAATCCCCAGGACTCACCTAATCCCCAGGTCCCGGCCACCCCGGGCTGCTGCCCTGGGATTGTGTGTGATGGGGAGAGCAGAAATAAAACACTCATCATGCAGTGAGTTGGTGCTCATTCGTGACTTTTCCATTGCCCTGAATCAGGTCTGTCTGTCCTGCTGTCCATCCCACCCACAGCTGCATGTGGACAAGTGTGACAGGGCCTCACTGCTCTGGGATAATTCACATTCACTTCAAACAGTTTCCATCTGTCCACCAGCGCTCGCTCCCAGGGCTTTCCTGGTAATATAAAGGATCATTTGGATGCTGGGGCATGACCAGACAACCTTCAATTGGGGGGAAAAATACCCAAATGCAAGAAATGTGCTTCAAATTAAATAAATAATGTATTTTTATACATATTCTAGTAACAATATATATTCTATAAATACGCAATATTATCCTGGCAGTGGCCAGAGAGGAAGGGAACTGTGTGTGGCAGTGCAGCCTGGGATTAGTGCAGGTCAGAGACACCTACAATTGGCTTTAAATGGTTTGTGGTGGTAGGTTAACCATGGATTATAACCATTGTTAATGATTACAACCATCATTAACAGTCACTGCAAATGCAGAGTGTGGGGGGGATCACTGCTAGGGGGGTGAAGGGGTCATCGTGCCGCTCAGTTTATCAAACCAGGGCACGTGGTGGATGGGGAGGGTGGGATGTGCCCCACTGAGGGTGGCACACGGGGGACGGGACTCGGGGTGCCGTGGGGGGTCCCGTGGGGAAGGCTCTCACCGCGGCTCCGATCCCGGATGGCTCAGACCTGGTGGCTGGAATTCGCCACACCGGAGCGCGGCGGGCCCGCCGTCCCCGCGGAAGCGGAGCCACCGGCAGGGTTTAGCTGGGGGGAGCCGGCAGAGGGGCGATCACATGCTTGCCCGCCCGGGATTAGGTGTAGCCGGCTGCTGCGGGGAGCCGTGCCAGGGAGCCGTGCCGGGGAGCCCTGCCAGCCGCTGGCACTCCGAGCCCGCGGCCCCGGGCAGCAGGAGCCGGCCCTGAGGGCTCGGCCGGGACCGCTGCCCCCGGATGATGTCCTACCTCCAGCCCCCTGGCCGCCCCCTGGAGCGCTTCGATGGGCTTTCCCTCATTTACTGGTGAGCGGGGCGGGACGCTGCCGCACCGGGAACGGACATCGCTCGGGGCTCGGATCCGCTCTCCAGGGAGGGTGTTAGGGAGGAGGCGTTCGGTGGCTTTTTGTGGGGTTTAATTCGGTTTGTTTTGATGGCCCTTTCTCCGGAGGGCAGGGTCTGAGGGGGGTTCCCGCAGCCCCCCCCGGTGAGGCCGGTACCAGCCAGGTGTGGGGAAGGGGGTTTATTTCGCAGGCAGCAGCTGGGGAAGCACCCACAGCCTCTGGGAGCAGTCGTGGGTGCTCCTGCTGCAGCCCCAGTGCTGGACTCTCCCGTTTGATGAAACCCCCCCAGAGGGACCGTGTCCACCCCACGGCAGCGCCCAGGGCGCGGGTGGGTGCGGAGCAGGGCCCCGGCTGGGTGCGGGGAGGGCGGCGGGCACGGCGGAGGGGACGGGAGGTGACGGCGGGTGCTGGGCGGCTGCAGATGTCTATGTAGGGCAGGGAGAGCGGCGGGAGCACGGCTGTGCCCGGGCCAGGGTTCAGAGCGTGCGGCTTTAGCCGATTAACTGGGGGTCAGTGGGCCGGATCCAGCGTAGGCCCCCGCGGGATTTGGGGACCACCCTGAGGTTTGGCAGAGGCTCTCTTGGGCTGGCGAGCCTGGGCTTCTCCTCAGCGGAGACCAAGAAGCCAGAGCACCGTCCAGACACCAGGGACCGTGGATGCTGCTGGGACATGATCCGCCTCAGGCTGAAGTAGGTCAATGGAGCGAGGGCGGTGGGGGCTGCGGGGCGGCAGCACCCCACGGGGGGTGCAGGAAGGCTGGTGAGGGCAGCACCCCAGGGCGACACCTGCCCTGGTGTCACAGAGAGGGTGGTTTGAGTTGCAGTGCTGATGCTTCCCAGCTGCTTTCGGGTGCAGAAAAGGCAGAATGTGTTGCTGGTCAGAAGGAGGTAGTGCAGGACAGGCGCGACCTCGTGGGCCGTGTCCTGGGGAGCGCTGCCACGTGGGTGCTGCTGTTATGGGGTTGTGGTGTGTATATGGCAGCAGACAGAGCTACACCCCTGCCTGGTAGCACTGTCACCTCGTTGGGGTCCCCTGGGCATCCCTGGCTCCACGGGGCTGCTAAACCCCACTGCCCTGCCCTTACAGGGCAAAAACGCTCAAAACCTATTTTCTACCTCAAAAATCTGCTCATACATTGGAGTTTTGGCTTGAACCCTCCCTCAGCTTTGTCTGCTGGGGTGTGCTCTGTGAGGGTGGAGGGAGAGGGTCAGCTTTGTGCCGGGGGACCAGCCCCCACACGTGGTGGCTGCCAGATGCACTGGCTGGTGTCCGTTGGGACACGGCGCAGGGTGGTGAGCAGATGGAGGGGAGATAACACCTCCCAGCACTCCGATAAGCACAACCCCACTCTGCCGCTGATTAAAAGATTAATTTTGGAGTTTGAAATAGGAATTTAATAAATAAACATGAACCTTCAGCAGGACCTCACCCGGCAGCATCAGCGCACGGCTGGACTAGCAGCTCATCCCTCATCCCCAGTTTCCTCCAGTGGTGATGCCGGTGTGTCCCCACAGGGCTTTCCTGTACAGCTTCTCTCCTTCAGAGAGGAGGAGCTGGAGGCTCTAAGCAAGTTTTTGCACCGGTGGCTTTTGTGCAGGAGCTTTGCCAGACCCAGCAGGAAGTAAGAGAGCCCCAAAAGTGCCCATCGCTGCTGGGCAGGTCTCACGGCTGCGCCACGCTGTGTGTGCCCCAGGCGGGTGTGGATCTGGTGCCAGCTCCTCACCAGGCATGGCCTGGTGTGCAAGACTGGCCTGGCACTTCTCCCAGTCCTCTTGGCATTGTTATTGCTGCATGTTTATGGCTTGTGCCAGGGTCTGGATTTGAGCATGGGGATGTTTGCACGGGGATGGGTCAAAGCTCTTCTCAAGAGCTGTGCTCCCACCTTGGCAGCATGTTCTGAAATCTTTCCCCAAATTATGTTGTTTCCATCTTTATTTTTATGGATTAACTTGGATGAGTTTCCTGCCATCATTCCCATGTTTTCCCCAATCAATCTGGGGTGGACAGACCAGTGGCCCACCTGGCAGAGCAGGTTCCACAGCCCCCACCAGCCACCATCCCCCGTTAATAAGTTTATAACCAGTCCAATCCCACAGCCCAGGGGATTTAGGAAGGCAGGGAGGTTTATAATCCTGTTAACCCTTCACTGCAGTTGACACCTCAGCTGGGGTCACAGCACCAGCCCCAAGCAGAGCAGCAGATTGACTCTCTCATGTGAGGGTGAGGAGGAGGAGAAGGAGGAGAAGGAGGAGGAGGAGGAGGGAGGAAGGCTTCCTCCTGTGAGAGATGTGACTACATCTTGGTCTTCCTGGGGTCAAAATGAAGGACCCTGTTTGAGCTTTCCCACGTGATTGTATTTAAATTGTGTTAATCCCCATCTCAAGTGGGTACATTCAAGGGCTGGGCTGGATGGGGGAAACTTATCTTAGCCAGGTACGGGGCTCTGGAATAAACCCCTTTGCCAAACACCTCTGGCAGACCAAGCCTGACCTCTCTTCCACTTGAAACAGCCTCTTTTCCTGGTTACTGTAAGACAGGCTGATTGAAGAGGCCCTTTTTGCCTTTTCCTCAACAAAAACCTTTTGGAGCAGCACAGGAAGAGCTGCACGTTGACGTCCATTGGAAAATAGTTGAAACCCCTTGCTGTGGTTTAACCTTTCCAAGCCCCAGAGGTCTTGGAGAGCACCTCTGCCAGGCAGGTGCTCATGGACTGACTGTCTTCATCCTGGACAAGAAGCACCTCCGGAAAGTGCTCCACCTCTGTTGACTTGATACGTAATTTTCAGGTGGGATCAACCCCTGTCCCCAGCAGGGTGGAGGTGACAGGCAGCAGAGACCTGACTTTCAGACAGCAAAGGGATGAATCCCTCAGGCTGAATAAATCCATTGTCTGAGGAGGATATTGGAAAATGGGGATGAAGTTTAGAGGAGGATGATAAAAGGGGTGGAAGAACGGAAAAGCCTGGTCAGCAGTGAGAGGTGGCATCTCCACCTGCCCATGGTCGTGGTGGCCTGGTGGTGCTGGTTCATGGGGCAAATGTCCCAGGCTTGGAGGAGCAGTGTCACCTACCCAGGGCTGGCAGCATCACTTCACCTGCTGCCACCCCTCTGCCCACCTGGAGGTGGTTCCCAGGGAGATGCTGATGCTGAGGGCAGGGATGGGACCGTGGAGCTGCCTGTCCTTGGGTGCTCCCCACAGGACCTGCCTGCTGCCTTCACCAGGAATTTCAGCAGCATGGCTTTGTTTGGGTACAGGTTGCTCCTGAGGAGATTCCAGTTGGACACAAGAGGAAAGCCTGTCACAATGTGAACAATAAGCCATTGGAATCATCTCCCCAGGGAAGTGGTGGATCCTCCAGATACTTTCAAGATTTAGCTGGGCAGGTGCTGGGCTGTCTTATCTGGACCATGCTTTTGACAAGAAAGGTTGGACCAGATGATCCCTGAGGTTCCTTCCAACCTCACTGTTTGGTCTCTCTTCTGTTCAGACTCGTTTGTGAGCGTCCCTGATCTCAAGAGCTCATCTGAAGTGACTCCACGGGCAGAATTATGCAAACACTCTGTGGGTGCACTGTGACTGTGGGCAGCTCCTTCCCAGCTCCAGAGCAGCTGATGTATTTTTTTGATTTATTCCCAATGCTCTGTAGCTGATCCTGCAAGCAGCACAGTTGCGTTTTTCTCTCTTCTAATCAGATGGAAATGCCTCTGCAGCCTACGCTAATTTCGTGCTGTCGGGAAATGAGCTTACTGACTAACGATCCAATGTTCCCGGTGCTGCCCGGGCAGCCCTCGGCTCCCACTGCAGCTCCTGGTGGGACGTGGGCAGAGCCCGTGACACAGTGCCCTGCCGAGGTGAACCCTCCCACCCCACCCTTCTTAATGCCGGAGCCGAGAGCCCTCAGACAGATCTCACTGCCACTGCAGGATATCTTCCCACCTCTAATGCCCACCCACGCAAACCTGCTCGGGTCCTTTTCCCCTGCTCAGCCATGCACTGAGGCTCCCTGTGGGCTCGGTGATGCTGCTGTCAGCACATCCTGCCCACCCCAGCCCTGCCACCCTCGTGCTGCTGCTTCATCCAGCTCAGGATCCTGCCTGGGATCCACCCTCTATTTGGGGTGATTTAGTCCTGGCCTAATCACCTGGTTCACTCAGGGATGCTCCCTGTGGGACCTGGCCAGGCTGGGCATCCCCACGGGGTCTGGCCATGCCTGGGCTCTGCTGTTGCCCTACACCTGATTCCTGGGTTTCAGCCTCGATGTTGGGGCTGGAATAATTGAGGACACTCGTGGCTCTACTCATTGCTTGTGTGGACTTAACATGACCTAGAGATGACCCCACCCGAGCAGGCAGGATGCAAAGGGCTGTTTGGCTGGGGAGAGCACTCAGGGAACCCCTCAGTTTCAAATATAAGTGTGTTTCACAAGAGATGAGCCTTGAGTGACATCTTCCCACGCAATGTTGCATTTTCTGCTGGACACGCTGATCATGCGATGCCAACACTCCCAGTGACTTTAAACCCATCACCTCCCCTCACAGTCCAGCTGTTCCCAGCACTGTTTGCTTGTCATCTGTGTAGGAAGGACAAAGGGACTTGAATTATGAGAAGAAACAACTTTACCATTGGATGTGCTCGTTTCAGCCATCCTCTTCAACTCTTCTCTCTCTAAAAGCCAAATACATCACCACCACCTTCTCCACCTGCTTCCTCTTGGCAGTGGTTCCTGTGCCTCTCCCCAGCGCTCCCAGTTTCACTCTCCCACACTTTCCCCTTTATGATCTCTCAGAAAAACGTATTGGAAATGCACCTGACTTGTGCTATGTCAGCATTTTTAAAATCTGCTTCTGCTCTGAGCCTTGTTTTGATTCCACTTACCATTTCCCAGCCCTGCTTGGGAAACACTTAACACTACACATGGTAGTGTTAAGTTCTCTCAGTTTTGTCTATTACAAATACATTTTTCAAGCAAAAATAACTTTTCCATTGAAAAAAAAATCCATTTTTCAGTGAGTTTAGTGAGTTTTCCTAATTTTTCTAGCAGTCAATGAAAAAGTGGACATACGAGTGAAGTACGTGTTTATTTGCTGTCCAGCCCCATAGGGTGAGTTTGTACTTAATTCATAGTCCTTCCATTCTCTCATTAATTCAGAAATTCAAAGTCTCACGTTGGTGGTTCCCTGAGTAAGAATCCTGGATTGACTGAGTTGCTCAGCTGGGTCCCAGCTCTGTAAAGAGCTTGAGCCCATGACACATCCCCTTTGCCAGCGGGACGTTTGCCTTCAACACTGGCTATACAGAGCAGGGCTGGGACCCTTGGGCAGGTTATAAACCCTTTCTGAATGTGATTCCGGGTTTTAAAACTCTGCAAGTCTTCTGAAACATTTTTGCTGAAACTTTCTCCAGTAGGACAGATATTAATCAGCAGGAGCAGCACGAACATCTGATGCTTTTGGGGTCAGACTGTGTTCTGGAGGAAGGAATCGAGGATCTGTGTGTTTGGAGATAAGCTGAGTGCTGCTCCTCTTCCCTGAGGGCCTCTTGCATTCCATTTCCATTTACTTTTACCACCTCGTGGTCAAACGAGTGGTTTATTGGAACATCCCGTCCAGACATGGGAAGGATGAGGAAGCCCGTGGTTGGTCTGCTGAGGGACTTGATGTGGAAGGTGCTGAGCACCCAGACCCCAGTCAGACATATCTGCTTGATGTTCCCTGAGATGCAGAAACCATGGTGGGTGAATTACTGAATTGCCAGGCAGGGAAATTTTCCCATTTTCCTGCATGTTTTGGGTTGGGCTGGCCTGGCTCCATCAGCTCTCCTGCAGTCCCTCTGAAGCTGGTCAAAGAGGTCACCTCATAGAATCACAGAACAGTTTGGTTGAGAGGGACCTTAAAGCCCATTCAGTCCCACCCCTGCCATGGGCAGGGACACCTTCCACCTTCCCAGGTTGCTCCAAGCCCCGTCCAACCTGGCCTTGGACACTTCCAGGGATGGGGTAGCCACAGCTTCTCTGGCCAGCCTGTGCCAGGGCTTGTGTTATCCCTTCCCTTCAGCAGCCCTGATTTATTCCAGCCAAGGCTCTGTCCCATGAATCAAAGGTGTAATTATGTGACCATGCATCAGGAGAGCCTCCAAGGACCTCAGAAGGCTGCACGTTGTATTTTGGTGGTGGGATGGAAATTGTCTCTTTCTGTGTTGGTTCATTAGAGGACCTGGGGTGTGATCATTAGTGTAAGTGGCTGGAGGCTGGTGGGTGAGGGCTTCTTGGGCATCCATTCATAGCTTAGCTGCCCAAAAATGTCACCCCACGCTGAGTGTGGTGCCAGGACACTCCTGCCCCTCGAGGAGCTGTGCCCTGGTGTGGAGCAGCTCCTACAGAACAGGCACAGATGGAAGGTCACCACACCCCAGGGTTGAATTCATGTCTGTGCTCTGTCTCAAAACCTCCTGGTGAGCCTTGAACGAGTCACTTTCTCCAGAACTAGAGGTCAGCAGGTGTTGGACCCTCCTGCCTTAATTTTTGGCTCTCTGTGCCCTGGTCATTGTCTACAGGATGGCAGGAGAAAGAACATCTATCACCCTGACCTCGGGTCGCTGTGAGGACGAGCAGGTTTTGAGGCTCTTGGTGCAGTGAAGGCTGAACCAAGAGTCTGGGACACGGTCCCACCTGCAGCCCTCGTGCTTGGCCTGGCTTGGCCAAAGCCTTGACTCAGGCATGGCCTAGGTGTGGTCACGTCTTGCTGTGGGGGGCTGTAAATGCATCACCAGACACGTCTATGTCTGATGTCTGGGTGGCATCATTTTTTAGGTAAGTTTTGGTCACCTAAAGGTTTAGTATTTAGTTCAGATTTTTAATATTTCATCTGAATGCCTTCAATGGAAGCCATTAAAAAAGAAAAAAGTAATTAAAATGGAGGAGAGTTTTTCCCATTTATCGTTCTTTTGAAGCACTTGTGAGGCTTCACACGGCCATCAGGGGAGCTCCTGCTGATAAAACTGGTTGTTCACACACGGGAAAAGTACCATCCAACAGCATCACACTCAAGGAATTATTTGGCAAAGGGTCTGCAGTCCCAAGCAAGCACGTCCACATCTGATGATGCTCAGCTAACGAGGTCAAGTGCCACTAATGGGGCCTGGCCAGGAGCCTGTGGAGATGGTGTGGGAACAGCACAAGGAGGACAGTGTTGATGGAGTCAGGGCCGAGAGCTTTCCTGTGACCTTAGATGTCCTCAGGAGCTGGTTGGGATGCAGGATCTGTGTCCTCCTGCAGCTCCAGGGGAATGTGTTTCCAGATGATTTGTCTTCTCAGGGAAGATAACCAGACCTTTGCCACCAAGATCACAGCCCAGCTCCTGCCAAGCCCTGAGGTTGTTGTAGGTCTGTCCCTGCTCGCTGGCCAACCTTGAATAGTCTTTTATCATCCCTCCATCCCCACATCCCACAAAGTGGGGGTCCTGCATCTCTCCCTGGATGATGTGCATCGAGATGGGGGTAGAAGAGGCTGTTCAAGGGCAAATCCCGATTCCAGCCTCCCAGCAGACAGTGGAACAGCTGAACTTGCTTTGCAGTAAGAAAGAAATGCTGTGGGCTGGAAAAGATGCTGAAAGGAAAAAAAAACCCAACAACAACAACCCTAAACCCCTAAGTGCTACAGTCTGTTATTACTTCCAAAGCTTTGCTGCGGATTTTAATCCTTTAGGGATGCAGAGCACACAAGTCCTGCACGGAACGCTGCCCTTCCATCCCTGGGGGGTGTGTTCCATCCGATGCACCCAAATAATTAGCCCGTTGTGCTAACGAGGAAGGGGCCAGCCCTGCTTGGGGGGGGTGGTGGCCGAGCCCCTGCCCCGCTGTGGGAAGGCGCTCACGATGGGCCACCCTGGCTTTGGCTTGCGTAAGCTTTAATCTAAAGTTGGGGATGTTTCCAGCTGATCTGTGTTAGTGTTGGGTGGAATTAACATGCATACAGGGAGACCACGTGACCCCCTCCGACCTCCCTCTTTTTTTTCCCGTTTTTTTTTTTTTTTTTTCCCATCACTTTAACGGATTCCTGCCAAATCCCAGGGGCTGGTGCCTGGCAGGGCCGGGCTGCCACCGCCAGCAAGATGCCCGCAGTCTCTATCCTTTACAAGGGAGCCATCATCATCAGCAGGTAATCCCCCCTGGCTGGGGCAGGAATGGGGAGGGAATGGCAGCCCTGGGGGGCCCGTGGCCACCTCTAGCCAAGGTTGCTGTGCCGCGGCTCTCCGGGAGCAGGGTGGGGTGGCAGGGGGGCCGTGTGTGCAGCACAAGGAGCCAAGGACACTTTCCCCAGCCCCTGGGGTTGGGTCTGCGCGTCTCTGGCATTAGCAAAGCTGCTGCTGCTGCTCCCTGTCCGTGCATCTGTCCGGGATAAGAGCTGATTGTATCAAGGAGGCATCTGCTCCGCCGAACCGCCGCCCGTCTGTCGCGTCCCAGCCCGGTTCGCGCTGCTCCTGTTCACCCCCGGTGGAATTTCCTCGGTGATTTACTCCAAATACTCTGAAAATCCTGGGTGGTTACTTGAACCAGCCTGGGCCCAGGGCTGCTCTGGCTTCCTGGGATGTCTTCAAGCTCCGTTTTCTGACAGCCAGACGTGGCCAGTGGTTTGTTTGGTGCTGGATAAGTGAAACAGTGCGAGAATATCAAGGAGGAGCATTTTTCTAACATGGAGAAAAAGCTTCCAGTCCGAATCTTAGAGGGGGGTGTTGCTGGCTTTGCAGAGTAGCTTGATGTTTTGGGTCTTATTTTGGATTCCTGAGAAGAAAAGTCCTCACAGTTTATTCTTATCCCGAGTCCTGCTGGACTCGGAGGATCCAGTTGTTTCCCATGGCGTTGTTCCTCCTCAGCTGTGTTCAGACCTGGGACCTCATATTCATTTGGAAACACCTTTTCTCTTGCAACTTAAATCCTGGGGAGTGTTTTGGGAGCCACTCTTGTGGCTTGCCTGGCTCTGGGTTTCTCAGATGAAGGCTCACCATCCTCATGGGGGTGACCACCACGGGCCACCCGAGGAGGAGAAGCACCAGCGGTCCAGGGTTTGGAGTCTGACACCCCCAGTTGGGGTAGAGTGGGACTGATTGTTTTTGGGGTCATTCATTTGGGACACCCCCCTCGCCTGAGGGCGTTTAGGGGGAGACTGTGGAGTGTTTGGGAGACTTTCTTGCCTCGGGGGAATCTCAGGTGTAATTTCTGGCTTGTGATGAGAAGAGCTCCCACCCTCCACTCGGCCAGGCAGGGTCTTGAAGCGGCTCAGCAGATCTTGCATCCCCCTTTTCCAGACCCCCTGCCCACATTACAAACCCTGAGGAGCAGATTGAGCCTGGCTGTCTTCGTTCCAGGCTGCCTGTATTTGTGAAACTGGTTTATTCCCAGAACACTGGTCCGAGCTCTGATCTCATTTCCCGGGAGCTGGACAGCTGTCCAGCCCCGATAATCTGAGGTAATGAATCACAGACAGGTCCAGTAGATTTGCTGGGTGGGGAGGATGATGCCCAGCCCTGCACAGATTCTCTCATTTATCTGTGTAAACTTCGGGGGGGGGCTGGGAGGGGGTGGGTGATTTCTGCCACAGTGTGGGTGTAACGTGTGGGGCCGTGGCCCTCACACTGTGTGTGTGCAGTGGTGTGTGGAGCAGGCCTGGGGGGGCAGGGAGGATGTGCTTGTGTGTGTTGGTTGGGTGCCTGTAGCCTGTGACAGAAAGATGCTCCTCTTCTCTCTCCCAGGACACTCATGGGACCGTATGGGATGGACCGAACCGTGCACTGCTTCGACTTCTACGACTGTGCAAACGGGCTGGGTGAGTGCAGACCCTCCACGAGGGACAGCAGGGTGGGCTGGGGCAGCTCCAGCATCCCCTCGGTCCCTGTGCTGTGATGTGCCTCCCCATGTGACAGTCTGACCTCTCACCAAAGCACTGGTTGCTGGGCCTGCCTGTGCCAAGCATCTGAGAGCACCTTTGGCAGCTGGGATGTTAAAACCATAGCAAAATCCCAATTAGTTTCATGTTAGGGTGAGCAGCTCAAGTGCTGAGAGCTGTGCAGGAGCCCAGGGCCAGAGCCCCTGCCTTGAGCAGGATGGGGGGAAAGGCTTTACAGGATTTCCTGAATTAAAAAAACTTAAAAATTATATCAATTAAATAAATAAATAGAATCCCCATCACTTCCCAGTCACCTGCCCCTGTCCTGCTGCAGACTTCCCCCCCCCAGAAATCACCCTGATGGACAATGCAAGGTGCTGCAGCTCTCCTGGGGACTGGGATGTATGAGTTGTTTCAGGAAAGTTTCACCCAGAGGTGAAGAGTATGAGCACCCAGTGAGTCAGGTGTCCTTGCACAGTGCTCTGAACATCAAAGCGTGTAAGAGAAAGGAAAAGAGAGGGTTCTGTCCAGCAGAAAGTCCCAGGTTCATGACACTCAGCCCAAAGGAATCCAGCAGAGCATCTCATCTGATTTCTATATATCCAGCAGCATAAATACTGGTGCTTTGCCACGGACTTTATAAAAATCTCTTGTTCTGCATCAGAATTTCTTGGGGTCCACCTTGCAGACTCCCCCATAACTCAATTGTGAGTGCAGCCCATCCTCCTGCAGAGCAGCTGCTGGCCCTTCAGTGAGGTCTCTGTGACCATTTGGGGACCCTTGCTGAGAAGTCAGACTCACCAGAGAAACAACTTCAGGTTTCCTGAGACCTGAGATTAACGATAGATTAATTATTGGCTGTTTCCAGCTCTGGGCTAACGGGACTTTCTGCCATGGAGAAATGGCTTTGCTGACTCTTCCCTTGGTCAGGAGGTTCAGGAGGTTCACAGGAGCTCAGGAAAATGTCTTTTCTCGGTGAATATGATATTTTAATCTCCAGAGGTGGATTTGGTTGAGTTGATGAGATTTTAGCTGCTGGGTTAGATTAGCTTGTTAAAGGAGAAGACCCAAGAAAGCTGTGAGCCCCTTCACATGCTCCAACTGCTCTCCTTTCCCCCAGTTTGTGGCCAGAGGGTCTTTGCAGGCTCTTGCAGACCCTCTACAGCATCTTGTGATGTGCTGCAGGAAGGTGTAACAATGTGGATTTTCTAATGCCATCATCACCTGTCTTCATCCTCTTCTGTGAGGTTTGAAACACCCAAGACAGGGATCCTCCTCCAGAAATCACAGACTGGTTTGGCTGGAAGGGATCTTAGAGCTCATCTCATTCCAACCCCCTACCATGGGCAGGGACACCTTCCATTGTCCCACGTTGCTCCAAGCCCCATCCAACCTGGCCTTGGACACTTCCAGAGATGTGGAAGCCATAGCTTCTCTGGGCAACCTGTGCCAGGGCCTCCCCACCCTCACAGGGAAGAATTTCTCCCCAATATCCCGTCTAACCCTGCCCTCGGGTAGCTTGACCATCAATGTCTGCTGAGGATGTGCAGGATCCCCGTGTCTGCTGTAGGTGTAGCTGCTCAGAGTATGGGGTTTTGGGGAAAAAAAGCTCCTTCCTGAGTTTCCTGGTTAGCTGCAGGTGTTCTTCCAGCAGAGTTCCTCTGGAGCAGCACCACCCGCTCGGTGCTGGCGTGGCAGGTCAGCGTTTGGCCCCGGGTCTGTTGCTCTGTGGCTTTAGGTAGAAACCCACAAGTGAACTTCAGCAGAAGTTCAAAGGGGTTACTGGCAGCTCCTAAAACCTGCACCTGGAATTACAGAATAGCCATCAAAGGGAAGTGCTGATTAAGAAGCATTTCTCAGAAACACTGAGAGAGATCCCATTATCTTGACCTTCATCTTCTTAGGACAGGGCAGTGAGTGATTCACCTCCAATCTGTCCCTTCCTCCAGACAGAAAAAGCTGGCCAGGGCCACAAGATCAACAGAGGGATTAAGGGAAATGTAATTGAACATTGCTGGCTTAGGCCAGGGCAGCCTCTCCGGGCGGCAGCCGGTGGGGTCAGGATGCTCCAGAGATGATCCCAGTTGGGCTAAACAACCAGATTAGCCAGGACACCCCCTGACCTGTGGAACAGGGAGCCTGGAGCAGGTGAGATTATAGCCTGAGAACTGCGACTATGGCATTAGTGGGAGCGGGATTAGAGGCACCAGAGGAGCTTGAGGGTCTTTAGGAAATTTATAGGATCCTTAAGAGTCTAAAGAAAACCCCGCCTTGGTCAGTAAGTTCATCTGGAGTTTTTCCTGTCAAACTTTATTCTGCAAAAGAGAAAATACCGGGGACGTGGCCACCAGCTCCAGGACCTTTGCCAGAAAGGAAAGATTAAATAGAGGGATCCAAAATAGGCTAGATTATCTGGCCCTAAGTATGACTTAATAAGCATTATACCGGGACTTTGATGCTTTGACAATGAGAGAGCCATTATTTACCTACACTGGGTCCCAAAGAGAAATTTGATTGAAGTAAGTGTTAATAAAATGGATAAGAAAATATACTCCCAGGGTGCTGCCACCAAATTCCTTGATGATTCGGGTTTGCTGCCATCAGTCCTGGGCTGTCCCATGGCTTGGCCTGAGCCCTGGAAGGGGTGAGACCTCCTGCCCTGGTGGGGACTCTCCAGTGCATTTTAGGGGGCAGGACTGGCACCCACAGCACCTCCTTGGCCAGGAGATGGGGGGGAGGGCAGTGTGGGCAGAGCTTGGCACCACCCAGCTGCTTGCCCAACGAGGGAGGCAAAAATCTGGGATTTTTCCCTCCCCCCCTGGAAGTTTGAGTGTGTCTGGAGCAATACTGTGAGTAATCGCCGATTTTAATAACAAGATCGGATTTTCTCATGACATCGTTGGGGATAAAGGAGGATTTGGAGATACTTCAGCTATATTAAGGCATTATTACAATTGATTTGCAGCCACAAAAGGGGAATGAGTCATTATTGGTTTGATACCTCGGCGGAGGCGCCGCTCACACGCAGGTCCCGCTGGGAATGCTGAGGCTGAGCCTCTGCAGGTGCACATTTTGACACCATTTGTCAACGGGCCTCATCATTCCCAGTTACTTCGTGTTCTGATGTGAAGAAAGACAGAGGATGACTTCTTGAGTCACCACCTTGGCTTGGGCTGGACTTCCAGCGTTCTCCCCATCCAGGGAGACTGATGGGACTTTGCCTCTGCAAGACCCCCAATGCCAAAGGGTTTCCCAAACCCATTCCGAGTGTGACCCTGCTCCCAGGGTGTCCCTGCAAAGCCCAGCAGCAGCCACCCTGCTCCCACTGGGAACGGAGAAGTTTTCCAGCTGAGCATCCCAGGCAATAAGCAAGTCTTGCCTTCTGTCCTTGAGCTTTGGGGCTGCAGCATCTCCTCTCTGTTTTGGTTTACCTGCTCCCGTGCCCTGGGGAGCCTTGTGTTGCTGGGGATACTCCTTTTGGGCAATATTTCCAATTTGAGTGAATTTCGTTTAAAATGCAGTGAAGAACAACATTAGTGCCTATTCCTGAGGGGTTCTGCTGTGAGTTCCCTGTTCCACCAGTAAAACAGCTCCTCACAGGTGCCTGGTGAATGCATGAAGCCCAGAGAATAAACTCAGCACTCAGACAGAGCTGGGATTTTTAGCTTGGGAAGAGCAGCAATTGGTGCACGTAGGAATGAAGTGGAAAATTGTAACAATCTAATTCTAATATAAAGGTGATTTAAGAGACAGGCTCTCCCTAGGGACAGATGAAAACTGTGAGGGGCCTTAAAGCAGAGCTTGGGTTGCAAAAGGAAGGGAAAAAGGGATGGAAATAGTTCTGTGTCCTGAGTAATCCCGATCCAGGGTTTGCTCCTCTTCCTTCCTGCTTGTTCCAGAAAGGGGTCTCGTGTTTGGGGCACAGCCGTGCTCTACTCCCCTGGGGGGTTGGAGTGTCCTGCACGGGGTCACTCTGGGCACCCAGGACCTCACCAAGGCTCAGGGCAGCCCATCAGCCCATCAGCAGCTGGAGGGGGACACTGGGCTGGCACTGGCAGTGCCTCTCTCCGTGGCACAGCCTGTCCCCAGCCTGCCCTCCCAGCAGAGCAGCAAAGTGCCTGACCGGCGGCTCTGGGGGGAGATTTGTTAATTAAAGCCAGGCTTTTTAATCCTTCTGTCCACAGCCTGGATCTTCGAAGTAGGACTTAATGAGCCCTGGGTAAATAAGTCTCTTGGACCTTTTCCTGCCAGCCAGCTTATGCTCTCCAGCAGGGAAAGGTCCCGTGGCTGGAGCGGTGGCTGTGGGGAGCAGGAGCCCTTTGCCCAAGTGCCACAGGGCAGCTGAGCTGTGCTGCTGCAATGAAGGGATTCAGAGCTGCACCAGGGTCATCTCTGGGCCTCTGGTGCTCCTTCTGGATCCAAACACTGATAAAAATGGCTGCTCCTGATGCTCAGCTCTGCCATCGGTGGCAGCATCAAAGGCTGTGGTGTAGATGCTGCTGGGGCCTGGCAGGAGGGTGGGCACTGGGGTGTCCCCACCACTGCAGTGAACCTGGGGCTTGTCCAGATGTTGCACCTGGAAGTGGGTCTCCTGTAGGAAATCCTTGTCACCAGGAGTGTTTTGTAGGACAGTTCTTATCAGAGAAGTGAGCACAGGCAGAAGCAGAGCCTTTCCTGTCACTGATGGACCTGGAGCTCCTGGAGAGAGTCCAGAGGAGGCCATGGAGATGCTCCCAGGGCTGGAGCCCCTCTGCTCTGGAGCCAGGCTGGGAGAGCTGGGGGGGTTCACCTGGAGAAGAGAAGGCTCCAGGGAGACCTGAGAGCCCCTGCCAGGGCCTAAAGGGGCTCCAGGAGAGCTGGAGAGGGACTTTGGACAAGGGATGGAGGGACAGGACAAGGGGGAATGGCTTCCCACTGCCAGAGGGCAGGGTTAGATGGGATATTGAGAAGGAATTGTTCCCTATGAGGGTGGGCAGGCCCTGGCACAGGTTGCCCAGAGAAGCTGTGGCTGCCCCTGGATTCCTGGAAGTGTCCAAGGCCAAGTTGGAGCAACCTGGGACAGTGGAAGGTATCCCTGCCCATGGCAGGGGGTAGCACTGGATGATCTTTAAGGCCCCTTCCAACCCAAACCATTCCATGATTCCATGAACTTGGGGTTGGGGCTGCATCCCTTTGGGATTGCCCGTGGAAACTGATTCTCCTCCCTTTGTGTCATGGGCTCTGCTTCTCCTGCAGGTATCAAGGTCATCGGTGGCATCAAGGAACTCACTGGAGAAGAATACGGAGTTTATGTCAAGCGGATCCTTCCAGGGGGTGTTGCTTATGCAGACGGTGAGTTCAACACAGAGTCTGGGAACAGCCCCAGTCCAGCCCATTTATTTTATACATTGTCATCTTAGATGTTTTAGGTGCTTCCCCAGAGATTTTCCAGTGGTGGGGGTATTTTTTTAGCGTGGCAGTTGTTCTGACATTCAGTGGCAGCCTTGGATTGGTTTCTCAGCGCATGTTCAATTGCTTCATGTCTCTAAAGCTTTTCCCATCTCTGCCACATCACAACTGCACTTGGCTGCCTGTGCTTCCCCACCTGCCACTCATTGCCTGTAGTCCCAAAATGACCTGAGATCCTTTTGCAGGTTCAGCTCTGCTCTGGGTCACTGATTTAATTCTGAATATGTTCAGATAAGTAGGTATTAGAGGGGTCTGCAGAGTTCACCTGTTAGAACTTAAGCCAAAAAAAGATACTTTTCTCCAAATGTTACATCATTTTCCCATCCAATAAAGGAAAATAAATCCAGAACAGGTGGAAGTGCCAGTCATGGTTTTCCACCTGACCTCCAGCTGAACTTTGTGACCTCAGAGTGAATTAAGCAAAAGCTTTATTGCATTTTTTGGTATTTACTTTCGTAACTTCCCGGAGCAGAGGAAGTGCTGGGACACTGGCACAGGTTGCTCTGGGGAGGTTGCAGAAACTTCATCTCTGGACATCTTGAAAAGCAGGTTGGACGAGCATCTCTGGAAGGACCAAAGCATTTCTCATCCTGTCTCTGGGCAAAGGCAGCGACTGCCCAGCCTCTCCCAGTCCCTCCAAGCTGTACTTTCTGCACTTTCTATCCATTAGTTTTCTTTTCCAGGGCGCCTGCAGCCAGGAGACCTGATCCTGGAGGTCAATGGAGATTCCCTAATTGGGGTTACAAGTGAGAGGTACCACATCCAAATGGAAATTTGGCTTTCCTGTTGCTTTTGTGTCATTCTGGGAAGTGGCTCGGGTTGCGGGTTGCATGGAGGGCACCAGGGAATCACTCTGTCTGTGCTGTTCCCAACAGCCCAGCTGGGAATTCTCAGACCAAAAAGATTTGATGTAAAAATAGACCGGTGAACCCAAACAGTATTTGTGAGATATTCAGACATTTCCCCCCAAATACCGGGGTTTTACACAGCTCCTGGCACCCCCACTCCATCTGCTCCAGCTTCCCAGCCAGCCCTGCAGCTCCCAGCACAGGAGATTTGCTGGAGCCTAAGCCTGACAGCGCTGCTCTGTGTGGGGGATTCCCTGTGGAGCCACAATCCAACCCCTCAGCTCCCCACCAAGAAAATAATTCACTGCTCCAGAGGAGCAACAACACTCTTGGGGCTCCCCTTTCCCATTAAAGATGGGGCTAGGCTGCTGTCTGCCTTTAATTCCTGCATGGTGTGCTGGATGGATGCTTGGGAAGCAGCACAAGGATTGTCCTTATCCTAATTGTCCTGCTCCCAGAGCCCCAGAGCAGCTGAGTTTGATGATGGAAGTCCCTGAGGACACCTCTCTGGCTATGCCTGGCCCTGGCAAACTGCTCTGGCTCCCATGGGAATATCTGTATTTTTGAACCAGAAAGTGGCCCTCCCTGAGATGGAAACTTCCACAGGCAGGGGATTATGGAATCATGGAATGGTTTGAGTTGGAAGGGACCTTAAAGACCATCCCATTCCAAGCCCCTGCCACAGGTGTGCTGGGAGGTATTTACTCATCACCACGGGCATCTCCTGAGTTTTGTTGTCAGGGACTTCTCATTTACTGCAGAAGTGGGAAAATCAGGATGTGACTTGGCCGCTCTCCGGCCCCTCAGCCGGAACAGGGAGCGTGTCTGTTCCACGGGCACCCCCCTGGGATTGGCCCCTCAGTCGCTGACGGGGCTTGCCCAGTTTACAGGAGCTGTGATGTTTGGCTGGGTGAGCTGAGTGGGGCAGCGCTGGGAGCCAGCGACATGTCCATGTTTTCCAGGGCCGTGGACATCCTGAGGACGGCGTCAGCCACCAGCCACATGCGCCTTCTCATAGCCCGCGACGACGACGCCAGGTGAGGGGGTCCTGTCACACCGGGGAGGGCACCGTGGCACTCGCTGGCCACAGTGCCTGGCAGTGGGGAGCGCTGAGGGGGCCACTGAGGTGGCCCAGGGGTTTTGGTAACTCTGTTCTGGTGGGAACACAACGGAGCTGAAATGGGAAGGGAAGCCAAGCTGGTGGCTCCCAGCTCCAGCCCTGGCTGTACCGGCTCTGTGGGACATTCCAAACCTGAGCAGATTTCCACAGGCCTTTTCCCAGGCAGGACCAGGGCAGCTCCAGCCTTGGCTGGAGGGTGGAACAGCTCCCTCAGCTCTGCTGTGTGGTGATGAGCTTCAGATGAAGATATGCAGGGACAGCAGGATCTTCCTTTTCCGTTCCAGTTGGACATGTTAAAGTCTTCCTTTGTCCAGAGGATTCCTCTCCCTGAAACCTCTCCCCTTGGTGCCCCCTGGAAAACCTTACTTCTTCTGGAGAGGCTTGGAAGATTCATAAAGAGAAGGAAAGAGTTCAGTCTTGTCTTGGCTGGATGAGGCTGTGTGGGACAACAAGAGAGAGGGCAGGGCTGTGGGAACCAACACACAGGAGTAGCAGGGTCTTTCCTTGCATTGCCCAGAAGATCTGGCACAATGTGGTGCCACATCCTCTCCCTGGAATAGAAACACAGGTCTGGAAGCTGAGGTGCACCAGGAGCCACAGAAATGAGGGTGGGTTTCAGCAGAGCGTGGCCGTGGGCCCACAGGCTGCAGGACCAGGGCTTGGCACAGGCTGTGGGTGGCTGAAGGTTACAGAGGCACCTGCTCAATGCACCCACATCCCATTAGTGGGGAGGTGATGGATTCATTCCTTATCCATCAGTGGCTGTGGAGAGTTCCTGCCTCGACAGGAGAGTGAGAGTGCTGTAATGACAGAGGTGAGACTAATTCTGACACAGCAATACACTGGTGGAAGAATTATTTGCTATTAATGACAGGCTGCTTTTTACCCACCCTCTTCCACTGGAAATAACATCTCCAATTATTCTATTAAGTGCAAGTCCTTCAGCAGCTGCTGAGGAAGCACGGGGTGAAGCAAGCAGGTCACCTTTGGTCTCAGTAAGGACGCTCAGGATGCAGTTCTGCACCACAGCAGTTCCCTGGGAAGTGACAGTGGGCACCTCTGGGGGACAGGATCCCGTCCCTCCCAGCAGGAGCATCCACCGCCCATCCATCGGCAGCAGCGCTTGTTCCAGCAAACACTTTAATTCTCAGCCAGGGCCCCCAGAGCAGGTTTTCTGCCTTCACCCTGATCTGTTCCCAGCTGTTCGGGCATCTCGCTAAATATGCTAAACTGCAGCAGATGTTTCTCCGAGCACACGCACGGGTGGCTTTGCCGGCTCCGGCTCCCCCCGCAGCTGCCGGCAGTCCCCAATCGCCCCGCCCGCAGCCGGGGGAGGCCGGCGGGGCAAGGAAACTTTAAGCAATTTATTTGGCCTCCGTTCGCTGTGGGTTATCTGTTAAATCTGCAAAAGGTTAGCCGGAGGGAGAGGGGGGAAGCAATCAGTTTATTTATTTATTTATTTTAAAAGATTTGCGGAGATTTCACTTACGTAATCATCTCGCAAACTGTTTAATACACGAATACATATCTCCAGGATTAAGGGAACAGGGGAAGGATTTTTCTGCTCTTTACTTTTTATTTTCTCTTTCTTCCCCCTTAGTTTTGTCTTTTGTTGATGCCCTCTTATCTTTTAAGTCTATCCTTGAGTGGGGGTGAGCAGACAGCCGGCTTGAAATGGGCTCAGCTCTGGAGGTGATGTCCCTGCAGGTGCCACACCACGAGTTGTGGGCAAACTTAAACCTTCCCACTGCCCAGCAGAGCAGTTCACGAGGCCTGAGAGCTGAGAAGGACACAGGGAGGGCCATAAATCAGTGTATTTTCAGATCCTTCAGAAACACAGAGTGCACAGAGGAGGGAACATCATGGCTCTGGGTTTGGACGATGATCCAACCAGCTTGCCAATTTTCCCAGTGACTCAGCTGAATAGCATTTTGTTGTGGTTGCCCTCGGGTGAATTTGACTCATAAATGCTATTATTTGTCCCTGGAGTTAATTATAGGCCCAAATTACCTGTGCTTTTCATGGAACTCAGGCCTGGCATGTATCAGATGCATGTTTTCAGCCTGTCACATCAGCCCTGCTGCACAGAGGGGCAGCAGTGCCAGAGCTTAAAGCAGAACATTCAGATCTGGAGCTGGACATGCTGGGTTTGGGGGATGGTTATCTCCCATTTTTACCTCTGCTCACCTTCGGCTGACGAGGATCATTTTATTGCACACACGTAATTATTGTTTATTCATTCTCAGCCTGGGAGTTACAATAGGTCCCTGTTTCTCTGCACTGCACAGATATCATCCTGGTCTTTCAGGTTTATCACTGTGAGAAAGCCAGTCTGAGCTGCACCTCCTCGTCCTCGCATGATAAAATGCTAAACACGTCGTGTCTCTGCAGCGTCAGCTCGGGCAACACGGGCTGGGCACTGACAGGGTTCCCACAGAGAGCAGCAAGGACAGTGGGCAGCTTCTCTGCAAGTGCCCAAGCAACAGGCAGGAACAGAATCACAGAATCATTTAGGTTGGAAAAGACCTCCAAGATCATCAAATCCAACCTTTGAGTATCTCCATCTTGTCAACAGGACCAGAGCCCTGAGTGCCATAGCCAGTTGTTTCTTGACTCCACCATGCCCCTGGGCAGCCCCTTCCAACACTTGGCCACCCTTTCAGTCAAGAAATTCTTCCTGATGTCCAACCTGAGCCTCCCCTGGCACAGCCTGAGGCCGTTCCCTCTCCTCCTGTCCCTTGTTCCCTGGGAGCAGAGCCCGACCCCCCCAGCTCCCTCCTCCTGTCAGGGAGTTGCAGAGCCAGAAGGTCCCCCCTGAGCCTCCTTTTCTCCAGGCTGAGCCCCCCCAGCTCCCTCAGCTGCTCCTGCTGCTTCAGCCCCTTCCCAGCTCTGTTCCCTTCCCTGCACACACTCCAGCCCCTCAGTGTCCTTCTTGTTGTGAGGAGCCCAGAACTGGACACAAGAGTTGAGGTGTGGCCCTTGTGTTGTTGGTTGCACCACTTGGGGCTAAACTGGTAGGGAGGGCTGGGACTGACTCCAGCAAGCCTGGATGTGCTTTGGGAAAAACACATATCCTTTCCCAGAGCAGCTGAGATGCACCTGTGCATGTCACTGCTTCCATCCCACCCTTGCCAGTGGTGGAAATGATGGAATGGTTTGGGTGGGAAGGGACTTCAAGACCATCCTGTTCCATCCCCTGCCATGGGCAGGGACACCTTCCACCAGCCCAGGTTGCTCCAAGCCCTGTCCAACCTGGCCTTGGACACTTCCAGGGATGGGGCAGCCACAGCTTCTCTGGGCAACCTGTGCCAGGGCCTGATCACCCTCACAGACAAGAATTCCTTTCCAATATCCCATCTAACCCTGCCCTCTGGCAGAGGGAATCCATTGCCCCTTGTCCTGTCCCTCCATCCCTTGTCCCCAGTCCCTCTCCAGCTCTCCTGGAGCCCCTTTAGACCCTGGCAGGGGCTCTCAGGTCTCCCTGGAGCTTTCTCTTCTCCAGGTGAACCCCCCCAGCTCTCCCAGCCTGGCTCCAGAGCAGAGGGGCTCCAGCCCTTGGAGCATCCCCATGGCCTCCTCTGGACTCTTTCCAGCAGCTCCACATCCTTTCTGTGCTGGGCTTCCATATCTGGAGGCAGCTCTGCAGGGGGGTCTCGTCTGGGGGGACAGAGGAGCAGAATCTCCCCCTCCCCTGCTGCTCCTGCTGTGGGATCAGCCCAGGGCAGGGAGGGTTTCTGGGTCCCAGCACACACAGCCAGGGCATGTCCAGCCCCTTAGGCACCAACACCCCCAGATCCTTCTCCCAGGGCTGCTCTCCACCCATTCTCTGCCCAACCTGGATCTGTGCTTGGCACTGCCCTGACCCAGCTGCAGGATCTTGCACTTGGCCTTGTGGATCTGCATCAGGTTCACACAGTCCCACCTCTCTGACCTGCTCAGGTGCCTCGGGATGCCCCATCCCTTCCCTGTAGAGTGTGAGCTCAACACACAGCTCTGTCAGCTCCAAACTGGCTGAGGCTGCCCTTGATCCCATTGTTGCTGTCATCTGCATGTGAGAAAATCTGCTTTTGTGACGCTTTTGCTGAGCTTTGGGTTCATGGCTCCCACTCACCTGCAGGTTTGGTTCTTTTGAGGCAAACTATTCATTTCTGATGTCACAGGCTCCACCTCCTCTCCCAGCTGAGGTTTCCAGACGCTGTGCGCTCATAACCTTTGATGTAGGATTCCCCCTTTGTTCTCCCAAGAACAAAAGGGCAGGACAAAGAGGCATTATGAGATAAAACAACAATATCTTCTGCAGAAAGATTGACCTCCTGCTGCTTAATCTATAGCAAAGTCATCCTCCAGCTGGCTGTGCTGGCAGACCCTGCCATCCTGAAGGCTGTGTGGGACCGAGCTCTTTTACATTTTACAGGCATCCTCCAGACCTCTAATGTTTGCATCCTAATGAAAAAAAGCTGGAGAAGGCTTGTTAGAATGAACTTTCCACCTAATAGAACGCCTTGGTTGTTGTTTTTTAATAAAGCTGGGCATTTTAGTCCTGCAGGCACCTGACAATTCACAATGTTTTAGCAAGGGTCAAATTTTAAATATTAAAGACATCTTCTGAAGTGTCTTGGTGTCTGAAAGCACAGAGCTGGCATTCCCTCGGTGTGCGTGTTCATCACTCGGCAATGTTTGGGCACCGTCTGCCTGTTTGCAAACTCCTCCAAACACAGCACCGAGCACAAAATTAATTCCCAGGAGATTGACACCAGAAACTGTGTTGCTTCCTGCTGGGATAAGCGTGTACCTCCAGTTAGTCATGTGTTTATGTCCCTGCTGGAACCCAGACCTGCAGCACTGCCCAACAAAGCCGGAGCTGGGACGGCGGCGCATGACGTAGCGTTGAGTCACATCGTCCCTGGGCTGGAGCCGGGCTCAAGGGGCAGCCCTGGGCTCCCAGCTCGTTGTTCAGGCTTCTGAGCCAATAATGCTAAACACCCCTTTGTGGAGGAACCGAACAACACAGAATAAACAACAACAAAGGGTGCTCGGACCGTGCGTGTCCTCGCTCAGAAGAGCGCTGGACAGCTCGGATCCGTGACCGGGCTCGCAGGGTCGGAGGAGCACAAGAGCTGCCCAACAGGTCACATTTGCATTGACTAAGACTGTTTTAGCCATTGTTTTAGGCTCATAACCTGTTCTGTGCTCTGATGGATTATTATCTGAGGAAAATGTAACAATAGGTGACCACAGAAACACCCAGCCCAAAACACAACCCAGCTGCTGAAGGCTTGGGAGGCACTGGAAATAACACACCAGATTCCAGAGTGTTTGACCTGCCCCTGCACTGGGTCAGGGAGGGGTAAGGTCATGGCTGAGCGAGTGACCAGTGAAACTGGGCTGAATCACCTGTAGAAACACAACAGCTTTGCTGGAAAGTGGAAAAATTCTGCTAGGGTAAGACCCACCCAAGGCTCAGCCCAGGGAACCACAGAACAGCAACCGCTGTCCAACTGCTGCAGGAGCTGAGTCGTCCTTCCACTTTCCCAGTGCTTGTGGAATCATTCAGGTTGGAAAAGCTCTCTGAGGTCTTCCAGACCAACCATTCCCCCAGCACTGCCCAGGCCACCACTAAACCACATCCCCAAGTGCCACATCCACACGTTTTTTGAACATTTCCAGGGATGGTGACTCCACCATTTCCCTGGGCTGTTCCAGTGCCACCCTCGCAGTGAAGAATTTTTTTCCTAATATTTTACATACATTTTGGTGTCCAACTTTATGAAACTTGACTCCCCACATGCACAGTAGGCACAGGTCACACAGGGCTGGCCCAGCATGTGGTGGGTCGTGAAAACATCACCATATGTCTAACACTTTCTAAGGGGTAATTACAGTGCTTAGAGAATGGCTTTGATCATCCTTATATCCTTTATACTGTTCGATCACAACAATGGCTGGAGACCACAGCGTCTGGGAGATGCTGTGGTGCCATCCTGACTGTTTGTTCCTAGGAAGTTTGTGCCCGAGAGGTGAAAACTAAAACAGCTTTGTGGGAGGTGGGGTTTCTGAACAAAGTCATTGTGTTTTTCTAAGGTCATGGGTTTAATTGATAAAGACAATAGTGTTGATGCAAATATTGGGATTCACCAAGGCATGTCATCGAGTATTGTGTGACACTTGGGTTTTAAATTAGCATTGGATGGAATGAATAAGGCATAAATTTGATGGCAATATTAGATAAGGCATGCGCTGGTCTTTGAAGTTTGTTAATGAGCTGGTTGTTACTGGGAAGATGTAAATTACGGAGAGCATTTCCAGCAGGAACCTGAGGAGCTGATGATTCATTCATCATTTAATATTGTTGGCTCTAATCTAGCCAATAATATATAAGCTGTGTGCCGGTGAGGAACGCAGATGACACAGCGTCTGTGTGTGTGTGAGAGCTGTCTCCTCGCTCAGGGAACTTTGCTGTGGCTGCTCTCCTGCAGGTTTATGACTTGAGCTTGTCTGACTGTCAAGCCTGAGAGCGAGCCACTCATAGCCAGGCTTTTCCTGGGGCTATGGCATCAGGAAGGCACCTTCCCATGGGGATTCCCTCATGCCTTCAAAGAGGACATCTAATGGTGTTGCTGTGGCCACAGAAACACTTTCAGGGTCTCTTCCACTGCCTGGCTGCTTATTTATTGGCATGTGTAAGAAATTAGTCATGCTTGAGGCTCTTCTCTCTGCCAAAGGTCGGACTGATCAGGTAGGGTGGGGTTAGAAAGGTTGGGTTATGAAGGGAGGGGACCCTCTCAGTTGCAGAGGGACAGATGTTCCTGGGAGCAAAGAGCCAACGTGGATCAGGAGGCTGATGAAGATGAACATGACGATGTCATCCCTTTCCATGTCCCCTCATCCAAAAGGGTGTGAGAGGCTCACGGCAGCTCAAAGAAAGGTTTCAGAATGAGGCAGACACTGGTAAACATGGATAATGGTGGTTCTTAGCGGGGTTTATAAACCCCAGATGTCACACTTGGCGAAGGGGAGGCCACAAAGCAATTCACCCGTGGTGTACAGGTCGTTACAGCTCATCAAGGGCTGGGGTTGTTTCACCTGGTGGTCAAACTCCACCGGGAACAAGGATCACTAAGGAAGGTGCCTGAGCATGGAGCCAGCTCTCCAGGGGATTTTCTGGATGAGATCTCGTGCAGGTCTCTGTTAAGGTGTTATGCTCCAAGAGCTTCACCAGAGATGTTCATGGAAGGCATCACCAGGGATGGATTCTGAGAGATGGCAGCTGCTTCTGCATGTGCTGCAGAAAGCCACATCCTATCCTCACTCCAGCAAGAGCTAGAAGGATCTGCCTTCTGTCCAGGAAGGAGGAGTAACAAACAGAGATTAATCTTTATTTAACTGCTCTAGAAAGAGTCACAAGCAAGCCAAGCCTTCCTGTTCTACGTTTGCACAGTTACAGCTCCTTCTGACGGTCTGCTTAATTTGTGTGGTGTGTTTCCAAAATTTTGAGCCCTGTAGTTGGGGGTGAAAATATTTCTCCTGATTCCTGGGAGGGTCCATGAGCCTGGGTGCAAGGCAGGGCTCCAATGTCCACCTACCTGCCCTCTCTCAGGAATGACAGTCCTCAACACCAGAGCCCGTCCGTGGAATGACAGAATCAGTCAGGTTGGAAAAGACCTTTAAGAATAAATCCCTTCCCAGCTCCTCTTGCCCAAGTTCACCCGAACACATTCCAGGACGGGGAAGGAGCACACTGAAGTTGCTGTGCCATGAGATTGATTACAGAGCTGAAGCCTTGCACAAGCTCCTGAAACCAGGGTGTTTCCCTTGTGCAGGAGGAAGCCCTGTCTGCTCCCCACTGCTGGAGGGCGTCGGCCCCGCAGACTCGGTACTAAGTCACTGCCACCAGAGGCACCGTTGCCAGGTAATCAGGTGGGGGATAGTCTTGAGCAGCAGCTGACTTGCCCGTGTTTTTGTTTCCAGGAGGGAGTTCTCTGAGCTGCTGGAGAAGTTCGGCTCCCAGAGCAACACGGGCTCGGCGCGGAGCTCGCCGGTCCTGCACGGCGGCAGTGAGTGACCCAGCGTGTCTCGGGGGGGACCAAAGAGAGCTTCCTTTGTCCCAGTGCAATTCTGAAGGAGCTGGGATGGGATTTGGGCAGGTGTTTGGGTGGAGGTTTGAAGGAAGCTCATCCTTATTCCAAGCCCAGGTGCAGAGCAGCGTGGTCAGCACAGGGCAGGCATGAAGTGAGACAGCGAGCCACCTCCTTGGGGGGAACGAGGGATGCTTGGGCTGGGATTGTAATCACTCCCCAGATCCCCAGACTCTGCTCAACTGATGTGTTGTGCAGGTGACTCCATCAGTACCCACCTCTGCAGGGACAGCTTTAGCTTTCTGCTCTGCATTTCAAAGCATCTCAGCGGGAATTCATTCAACGAGCACTGTTTTTTATTTGCAAATGGGAGATGTTCCACGAGATGCAAGAAGGTTGACGTAAGCGAGGTGCCAGCACACAAATCCGTGTGTGCATGGGGAAGGCAGCTGTCCCCTCTGGCTTGGCATCCCACCAGCCAGCTGCCAAGCCTTCCCCTATGGCAGGGGTATGTGGGGCTGCCAGAGGGGTGACATTCTGGAATTGTGCTGAGAGGACTGAATGTTTCCTCTCCATAAACCGTATCCCGATGATTTTAACAAACGTGATTTTCCTAAAAAAGACAGAGCAGGGGAGGAGGGTGATGCTGGGTCTGTGTGCCCTGGCCTTGACTCTGGCTTTGCTGTTCAGGTCGATACCTGGAGAGCACATCCTCGGGCTCCTCCTCGCGCTCCCAGAGCCCGCTGCTGCTGAGCCCCGCCAACTCCCACGGGCCCTGCATCGGCACCGCGGCGCACGCCCCTCACGCACAGTACGTACAGACCCCACCCAGCCTGGCCCCTGCCGGGCCATGGGGAGACATCACGGAATGTCTGACACTGTCCTAGAGCCAGAACATCATTCCAGTGCTTGGAGAATGGCTTTGTTCATCCTTTTGTCCCCTCCACTGATCTGTCACCCAATGACCACAGCACCTCCCAGATGTCGTGGTGGCATCTTGGCTGTTCCTGGGAAGTTTGGGCCCAAGAGGTGAAAAGCTTCCCAGCTGAGGCATTCAGTACATCTGCACTGTGGTTAACTATGCAACAGCTCCTCTTCCTCCCCTCCAGATCCCAGGGAAAGGTGCTGGTTTACAGCCAGCTGAGAGGACCCTGCACATCACCTTCACAAAACATGCCGTGAGCAGAGCGTTCCTGCAAAGCCAGCGCTGCTTTTCAGGAGGTGTTTTGGGATCTTGTTTCCCTATTGCCCTGCTTCTGGCACGCTGACCCCGTGCACCAAGAGCACCAGCACCTCTCCCTGCAAACATTCCTGACGCCCTTTGCTGTGGGGTCAACAGCGGTCGCCAGGAGTCACCACATGCTTTGGCCTCCAGAGCATCTCCTGGAGCGTGTGTTTTCATGTGGTCCTCTGTCCCTTTCACACTGCACAGCTCAGAGGTTTGGACAGGCAGAGCTTGTTTTTCTGCAGAGCTCCATCTCCGGGGCGCTCGGGGTTGTCCTTCTCCAGAGGGACAGCTCGGAGGGTGTTCAGCAGTCGTGGAATGGGGACCACTTGTCCCCAGGGCTTGCAGCTTCCCTCCTTCTGCCAGCGTAAACAAGCCAAATTGCTGGTAAAGAGAATCAGCCCTCACTGCAGAACCAGTAAATCCTCTTGCTAAATACCAGCTTATTAGGGATTTGTAGAGGACAAATATTTGGCACCAGAGGTTTAAGCTGCTTGCGTGGAGTGAGAGACCCACACAGAGGAGAGGCCAGATTATCTACTTGGCAGTTGGTTTGGACAAAACATCCTTCCTGTGCTGTTAACCCCCCCCCAGGCTGAGATACAGAATCCCAGAATGGCTTGGGTTGGAAGGCACCAACTCATGAATGATCATCTCATTCCACCCCCCCTGCAGTGAGCAGGGAAATGGGTACACAGGGTGGAGAGGGCCTGGTTTGGTGGCCTCCTCACAGCTGCCCTGCTGTGCCATGCTCTGCTTGTCTCCATGCCAGTGTCAGGCCCCAGTGGTCTTCTCCTGGAATCACAGACCACTGATTGCAGCTGAGTGTTGGTGGTCAGCTGAGAGATGTAATTTGGGTCTTTTCATGCATGTGGCTGCCATCCCTTCTGCCCAGGCTGTCCCAGTGCTGTGACCTCTCATCGTGGTGTCACCTGAGGCCCTGCCACCCCCCTGAGCAGCAGGACTCAGATGCAGTTCAGAGTCACCACAGACAGGGTCTGACATTTTGATTTGAGTGGAGGCTTTAAGGCTGTTATTTCATGACATCATTTTCGTAAGATCATTTACCTTAAAGCACTTTTCCATAAGAATAAGGCACATGCACCCCTTTCAGTGAAGTGTCTGACCTCCAGGAATGGCATCACTGGGGAGCTCAGGGTGGTGACAAGCTGGTGTCACCGTGGGGCACAGCCTGTCATTGTGTCTTAAGTTATGAGACAACATCAGGAGGACCAGAAAGTTCAGATTGTTTGGGGATTGGCTGCTATGGAAATACATGGAAAAGGTGAAAAGCCAGCTGCATCCATCCCATCTGGAGAAAACTGTTTGCTGATGCTCAGACCCCACCAAACCCTTCCCCAAACCTCCCTGCTGCAGTGCTGCCCTCCAGCCCGTGGGAGGTCAGTGAAATCTCTGCTGCCCCAAACCCTTACCTGCTGTGGCCAGGTCTTGGTGGCCTGTTGGGTCCTGTCTAGTCACTCTTGGAGAGAAAGGTCCAAGGTGGTTGCTGCTCCATTTACATCCTTCACTGGGAGAGCCATCTCTCCCCCTGCCCCAGCAGCACTCACAGTGCAGTGGGTGTTGCTGCAAAGGACGCCCATTTCTTAGGGAATCTTCCAACATTTCAAGTTCCAAACCTCAGTTTAGACACACTCAGCTGTGTATCCCAAGCTTTCCTTGGATGATTCCTGAGAGCTGCTTAATTCCTGACCAATCTGTAAATTGCTGTCTGGTGCTTCAGCTGGATTCAAGCAACAACCATGTCGATCCTTCATGTGCTTTTAGCTATAAAAACCAGGAGTGCCAAATCTGTTCTGGTTAAACCTTTGGTTTGTTCTCTATTTTAACCCTGAGATGAGCTCAGGTCAGAACATGGTGCTGATAAAACCAAGGTCGTGGGTTTGACCCCTGTATGGGCCATTCATTGAAAAGTTGGACTTGATGATCCTTGTGGGTCCCTTCCAACTTGGAATATTCCGTGGTTCTGTGAGTATTCCCTGGTACTTGGAATTATGTGAGCCAGTCACCTTCATAACACTGAACAGTGTCTGCCAAGGAACAGGAGCCTTCACCTCCTCTTCCCAAGACTGGGTGGAAGAAAGGATGCAGGGAAAAGGGTGGGAGAAGGTGGAAGGATCATGCTCGGGAAGAAATCCAGGCAGAGGTCGTTCAGTGACGTGGGAAAATAACCTGGCTCACCTCGAGTCACCTGCTAATGTCTCTCCCTTGCAGCTGCTCCATTGACTCAGGAATCCAGAGCATTTCTGTAGCAAACTCCTCGGGCCTAGGGCTGACCATCAGTGGTGGATCTAACAGGCCTGATGGGCCCATGGTTTATGTCCAGGAGCTTTTGCCAGATGGGGACTGTTACAAGGTAAGTCGGGTGGAGACCCTTGGTGGCCTCTGGGGACCTCTCCTGGAGGCTGGAGCTGTTCTGAAACAGCTTTTCTAAGAGTAAATGGACAATGCACAGGCTAATGAGGATCTGTGTTGCAGGAGAAGGCTTTGGGCATTGACATTCCTTCCCAATGCTGTGTCTTTCTCCCTGTTTGTTTAGGATGGTCGGCTCCGACCCGGTGACCAACTAATCGCCATCAACAGAGACTCTTTGGTGGGCAGCACACATGAAGAGGCCAGAAAAATAATTGAAAAAGCCAAATTCAGGTAGGCATCAAACATATTTCCTGCTGTCATCATCAGGGTGCTGTTGAGTCTCAGGTAGAAACCCTTTATGTTCATATTTGTCTTCAAGAACATCATTAATCTTAAATGATGCTTTGAGACAGTCCTGATAGGTGGTCACATAAGGAAATCTTGAAGGCATGGGGTGTAATCCAGAGCTGAAGTGTAATCCAGAGCTTCCCAATGTTCTGGACCTCGTGAATATCTCCTGTCACTGCCCAGCAGAGTTCTGCAACAGAACTGAAGTTCAAAGAACCATGAAAAAGGAGGCTCAGGAGAGACCTTGTTGATCTGTAAGGGAGGGGAGAGCCAGGTGGGTGTTGGTGCCTTCTCCCAAGTAACAACTGATGGAACAAGAGACAAAGGCCTCAAGTTGTGCCAGGAGAGGTTTAGATTGGATATTAGGAAAAATTTCTTCATGGAAGGGGTTGTAAAGCCCTGGCACGGGCTGCCCAGGGCAGTGATGGAATCACCATCCCTGGAAACACCATCAGTGTTCAAGAAATATGTAAATGTGGTGCTTGGGGACATGGTTTAGGGGTGGCCTTGGCAGTGCTGGGTTAAGGGTTGGACTCAACAATCTCAGAGGTGTTTTCCTTAATGATTCCATGATTCCATGAACCTATGGAACACAGCTGGTGGAGATCCAGCTGCACTGCTGCACGGCCTTAAGTGAGATTACCCTGGAGACAGAACCAGAGCATGGAAGTTCTGCAACTTTGTACCTTTTGTTTTGTAAATAAATCTCCTGTATTTGCTGTTTGTTTAAGACACGAGGGAAGCACAGAAGTGGCCTTTATTCCTGGAAGGGGACGGTTACACCCTGGACTGTCAGTGCACAACAACATCCCATCACCACCTCTGAAGGCTGTGGGAAATGGCCTGAGCTCCTGCAGGCTCAAGGTCCACGTGAGGTCCCCAGAGGTAGGTTGGAGTTCATATCTCACAGCACAGATCCTGTGATCTTTCTTTGATCAGAGAACTCCTCTTTAGGGACTCCCTGGCAATATTTTGGGACAGTGGGAAGGCTGTAATGCTGATACACGTGGCCCTGTTTTGCAGGCAGGTATTTTAAATCTGAAATAATTTCTCCTCTCTTGAGTTTGAGACAGAGAAGGATGTGTGGAGGTAATGAGAGGAATTTCATCTCCAGGGCCTGCATTCAGATCTGTTTCAGGAGTCTCAGGTTTTCAAAAACAAAACCCTCCTGTGGATAGCAACCTGCATCTCATTCCACTTCCAGTCACAGAGCTGGAAGGGATCTCTGGAGTCAGTTTGATCTGGTCTCCTCCCCGAAGGCAGGAACAACCCTTTCTTCTTGGAGCCCTGTGATGAGGATGAATCCCGAGCATTCCTGCACAGCCCATTGCTGCTCTGCTGGCTCTGATGAGCAGCCAGGCTCGTTCCTCCTGGGAGACTGAGCTCCACGTTGTGTGGGCAGAGACAAGTGCTCCAGCTGCGTGTGAGGACACACAGCCCTCATGATTCTCTAGGTCTGGATTCTCTGCACTTGTTGCTCCTCTCCTGGACTGGTGCTGTGCCGGGTGTATCCTCTGCCCTCTTCCTCACAAGCTTCCTTTAGAACTTCCTTCCCCTCATGTGTGAGCAAAACAACAAAACCCCTTTAAAGAAAAAAGTTTTAAAGTTCTGCGACCAAACTCCTTAATCCCCTGTTTTCCAGCCATCCAGAATATTTTCTACCCGTGGACATAAGTGGCAACCACACATTTCCTTTGGAAAGTCTGATTTTATTTCATTTTCTTGTAGCCTCGATAGATCTGAGACACAATTCTTGCTCACAAGTACAGTCTGAATGCAAAAGCAGGCAAACAGTGAGGAAAGAGGGTTGTGGGTTTTTTTGGCAAAAGGAAGAGGCCAGCTGGATGTTCCTTTCATACAAGATCCTTCACAAAACATCTCTTTCCAGCCCTGTGGGGACACAGACTCGCACAGATGTCATCTGCGTGTTTCTTCTGGGTGTGCCAGGCTGGAAAGGGCTTATGAAAAGCAGCAGCAGCCCCTAGAGCTGTAGCTGAGTGGTGTGGTTGGATCCTCTACCCACAGCTCACCATGGTAATGTTGTGTTTGGGGTAAATATTCCACCTGCTGTGGTCGGACTACTCGGGGCCTCACCGGTGGGTTGGATGCAGAGCTTTAGGGACAACCTCTGTGCAGAAACCAGACAAGGCCACATTCAGCATCAGCTCTCAATCACAGTTACATTAAGGACAGACTCGTTTGTGAGTGACCAGAAGTCTGGGGATGGCCCAGGAACATTCCTATACCAGGTGCTCCCAGAGAAACCCCCGGAGTCTCTTTTGGCCCATCTGCACATGTGGTGCCTTCAAGGGCCAGCTGGGTGGCTCTCTCTTGAACACTTCCATCTTCTGCTCTTTATTAACACCAGCAGATTCTTCTTAGCGACTGTCTGTGCTATTTTGTCTTGTTTTTCTAGAATAGACGTGAAAATCCTTTTCCTGTGCCTTCTTTGTCACCGGACATTTGCCCTCCAGAGCTTACGGTCTCAGGTAAGAGTCCTGCTCAACCCTTCTCCTTGTGTGGGGGACAAACAGCTGGGGCTCCTCAAGCTGAGCATGATGAAATTATAAAATCACAGAATCTCAGACTGGTTGGGTTGGAAGGGACCTTAAAGCTCATCCAGTTCCACCCCCTACCATGGGCAGGGACACCTTCCACTAGCCCAGGTTGCTCCAAGCCCCATCCAACCTGGCCTTGAACACTTCCAGGGATCCAGGGGCAGCCACAGCTTCTCTGGGCAACCTGTGCCAGGGCCTCCCCACCCTCACAGGGAAGAATTCCTTCCCAATATCCCATCTAACCCTGCCCTCTGGCAGTTCAAAGCCATTGCCCCTTGTCCTATCACTACATGTTTTTATCAGTGTTTATACTGCTCTAGTGGAATTTAATGGGGTGATAACGAGACTCAGCCTGCTCAGAGAGGGGGAAGGCAGCAGCTTGGCTTACTCAACGAGCAGTAACTATGTCCGTGTTTGCCCAAAGTAGCAGAACTCTTTACTAAGGCACTCCAGGGCTGAGGTGTTCACAGGACACAAATTCTTCCCCTCCTCTCAGCCTTTGGTTCATTTGCAGCAGCGCCTTTGCCCTGGCATTCAGGAGGTCTCACCACATTCCCTCTGACAGGAATGGGGGTTCCTCAACACCCAGTGCAGCACCGGGTGGTCGGTGACAGTCGTGACACACCAGCCCTGGCGCTGAACAGGCAGCAAGGACGCCCTCGGTTGGCCAAACTGGGAAAAGGCTTCTAGACGTGACTAAATCCGACTTCTCTCTACATCCAAACGTCACTTTTTGCTCGTTTTCCATGCTGTGTTTTTTCTCCCTGCTCTGAGTCTACTGAGTTCTTACCTTTTCTGGAGAGACCCACTCTGTTCACCCAGCAGGGTGGCAGCACCGGGGGTGGGCTCAAATCACCCTTGCAGCTTCCCAGATCCCTTGGGAATGGCAGGAAACCTCCAGAACCTCTGTGACCCAGAGCCCAGGGAGACAACCTCCACCGGGATCCCCCCTATCCCCGTGACAGGAATGTTCTCCTGCCCTGAGCAAAAGATGGGCTTTCCCACCGAGCCTCCAGCAAGTGCTGCCCATCCTTCTTGCAGCCTCAAATCCTTCCCCACACGCTGCTAGGGCAGTGGCTCTGCTCACAAATCCTTGTGCCTTGTTGCGATTCCCACCTGGAAGGCTGAGAGCAAGCACTGGAGGTAAATGGTGTTCAGTCCACACCTGGGATCGGTGTCTGGGCTGGGTGTGTGCCAGCCCTGCTTCCAGGGGTGCCTGTGCCACCTTGGGCAAGCTCAGCAGGCTCCAGCTCTGTCTTCCATGCTCCTCTGGAGAGGCCCTGGGACAGGGATTTGCTCTGCCCTCCCTGCCCAGAGGATCCTGCAGGTGTCAGGTGGGCTCTCAGGTGGCCACCAGGAGAGCCAGCACTCCCAGGGATGGGAACAGAGCAATCCAGCAATGGCAGTGACCTAATCACTGCCTGACTTCGCTGGGGAATTTATCCCAGCAGGTTTTTACTGTGAAATGCTGAGGAGGCTTTGTGTCAGTGTTGGCACCCCTGAAAACAGGCAACTTGCTTGGAGCCTGGGCCAGAGCCTGCCTGTCTCTGGGTGCCTGGTGGGTGCCCTGCATATCTCAGTGTCCAGGGCTGACAGCAAAGCCACCCAGAGCTAATCCCGATTAGCCAAGCCTGGGAAGGCGACGGCTCTGCCCTTGAACTTGGAGAGCAAAGTGTTGGTGGCCAATCCAGCAAACCCAGTTGTTCCCTGCTGCTGCTCCCAGCTCTGGCAGAGTGGATGGATCCCTGGATCAGGAGGATTATGCCTGTGCAGCACCTCTGCTGCTCCTCACTGCCTCCCCCTTGCCCTGATGGTCAGGAGGGTGTGGGGAGAAATGCTCCAGAGATTCCAGAGGAGTGGAGCTACTCGGCCAAGAGTGGCTTCCCGTGGTGTTAATCAGATCCCAGGCTGACAAAAGCAATTGTTTAATTGTTTCCTGGGCAAATCTCGGGCCACTGGCATAAGAGGGCATTTTATCACCTGGGCTGAGGGTTTGAGGGTGGGCAGGGGCAGGCACAGCAATCCTGCACCTTTCTGGAGTCTGGTGCTTTTCCACATGGCTTTTAATCCGTCCATTCCCATGGGTTTTATGAATTGTTTCAGTTTTGCTTAATCAGTTAGAGTAGATGAGAACCAGGCAGATTTGGTTTAATTCTTTTCTTTTTTGCAGCTCACCACAACTGCAGGCCCCAAGACTCCACAAAACTCTGTGACTGGAAATTTCCAAAGTGCTATTTTTGCAGTCCTAGGTCCTTGGATGAAACATCCCATTTTAAACCGTGCAGAAGCCCAGTTTCAGAAGGGTTTGCCCCAGTATCCTATCTTCCCAAGAGTGGCCTAGTTCAGCCTTCCAGAACTGGATTTAATCAATCCTGAACTTTGATTTTTGTCCTGCTGCACACACATAATATTTCATATAATTAGAGTTCTAAGTTTGCTTTGCAGACACCTCTTTCCTCTACCAAATGCTCCCCAGTTAGCATTTATTTTTGCTTTTTCAGCACCTGCTTCAGCATCCAATCACAAAGCAGCTTCAGGCACCAAACCAAAAGTAGCACTGGATCCCCACATCCGGCTCAAGGATGGGAAACTGGAACTGGTGAGTGGAATGGGTCCCTCTTCCCAAAGCAAGGTGAGCTGTGCAGGAAAACAGCCCTTCCTCTCTTCAGCTGAGAGTGCTGCAGGTGGAGTCCAACCTCTGAAGGTAAAAAGGGAGAAGGAATAGTGGAATATCCTGTGTCTGAAGGGGAATTTGAACACACCTTGGCTCCTCTTGGCTATTTCTCGTGCTCTGGAGGGCTCCGGAAGTCTTCTCCTGGCATTCACGCCTCCCTTGGACTACAGCTATTTGGTGCTGCTGTTGCTGCTGGGGTGACCACGGGCAGCCTGGTGTGGGGAGGGGCTGAGATGGGAGATCCATCACCGAGGATCCAGCTAGAACCGCTAATTCTTCCAGCATTTTATGGAAAACCTGTTCCATAGGTTTTTTCCGGGGAGCCACGTCCCTGCCTGGCTTTGGGGTGCATGTGTCCCTCCCCCCGGGTTCTGCTGGCGTTTGAGGGGGAGAGGGAAGAGGGTCCCTCGTGCCGGGCCGGGGGACACGGCGGTGGCTCCGATGTGACGAACATCTGCTGCCACCCGACGGCAGCCGAGGGCTCGCCCTTGGCTGCTCCCGCCTCCCGGGAGGGCAGGGACTCTTCTAACTCTGCCTAGTTCTCCTACAGCGGGATTTAGGCCCGCGTTTTGCAGCGACCTCTGCTCGTCGTGGGTACAGAGCATCTCCTCTGGGTAGGAGGAGAGTGACGCTGGGTTTCCCCTTTTAAGAGCCCGTGTTACACACGGGCAGCTGCAGCGGTGACGGGGTCGGGTGTGGCACCGACAGGCACAACCTGAGGTGGTTTTGGGGTGGCCAACCCACCCAGCACCCCAAAGTGTGGGAGCCAGTGTGGGATCCTGCAGCGCTGCCTTGCACAGGGGGCAGAGGAGCAGCAGGTGGGGCTCGAAGGAGAGAGCAGAGGGGTCCCAGGGACCCGTGATGGGAACGTTCCCAGGGGACCTCGTGGGAGGATTTGGGAGCAGGAGCTGTGTGTGCAGCCCGAGACAGGCAAGTGTTTCATCCAGGCTCTTTCCCAGAGTCTGCTGAGCTCCACTTTGTCCTTTAAAAGCTTTTAGTTGCTGCTGCCCGCAGTGAAGTGGGGCTTGCACAGGTTTATCTGCTCTCTGTGCTGCCCTGGGGTTCAACTGATAAATATCAGTAGAAGTCAGGGCATCAGGAGTAATGAGAGAGCAAAGGATGAAGCAGAGAAGCAACATGTTTGAATGTCTCCTCTCACCATGGGAACAGCTTTTATCTTCTTGGTCCTAAACACAATTCCCAGGCAACAAGAGAAAGGAGAGGAGAGGCCAAGCTCTTGGCAGATGAGCCTTGTTAAACTCCACTGGCTATGAATAAAAGTCCTAACAGCTCATCAGAGCTGCAAATCTGACTGCAGTCCGTAGAGAATGTTCTTGGAAGGATGTGAACGTGTCCCTGCCTTCAGGAACAGCCATTTCTGCACACATGTAGGAAAGGAGAGACTGGAGACCCAGCCCAAACCTGTTCCTTTGGGAGATGCTTCCTGGAGAGCCACTTCCAGGAAAAACCCAACACCAAGTGTCTTCCTAGTGCTTACTCCAAAGAGTTGTTTTTCCAGTAATTTTCTTTTTAAAGGCTCCTTCTTTCTTCTCAAGGTTCTGAGGTATCTTGGTCTGGATGTGACCGAGGAGAAGAAGAGGCAGTTGCGGCAGAGCCTGACCACGGACTCGCAGGGGACGGTGGCCTATGGAGGTGAGGGGGAGCTTGGCTGGGTTTGGGGAGCTTTGCTGGCAGATAAGGAAGGAGAGAGGTGGCAGGTGAAACCCTGCCTGGGCATTGATGGAGCCTCAAAACAGTTCAGGAAAGTCACAAACACAAAAAAAGGCATTTGGTCGAATCACAGAATGGTTTGGGTTGGAAGAGACCATAAGGCTCACCTCAGTCCAACCCCTGCCATGGGCAGGGACACCTTCCACTAGCCCAGGTTGCTTCAAACCCATCCAACCCGACCTTGGACACTTCCAGGGTCCAGGGGCAGCCACAGCTTCTCTGGGCAACCTGTGCCAGGGCCTTACCCCCATCACAGGGAAGAATTTCTTCTTAACATCTTATCTAAACCTCATCTCTGGCAGTTTAAAGCCATTCCCCTTGTCCTATCAGATGTAAAATCAGACTAAAATAAAATTGGTGCAAGGGTTCACCTAAAATCCCATCTTTCCTAGCAGGAGCTGACCAGAGGACACACAAAAAATAAAAGCGAGCTCTGCTTTCTGTGACCTGCCAGAGCGTGCCTGACCCACAGAGTCTGCTCCCCAGAAGGTTCTTATCAAAAATCCAAAGCCATCAGCCTGTCCCCACCTCAGACAGAACAGGCACAAGGCAACTTGGACCAAGTTTCTGTGCAGAGCGAGGGAGGGGACACAGAACCACACGAGGCCTGTGCAAACCTCATGAGGCCAAGTGCAAGGTCCTGCCCTGGGTGAGAGCAGTCCAGAGCATGGATCCAGGCTGGGCAGAGAATGGATGGGGAGCACCCCTGGGAGAAGGATCTGGGGGTGTTGGTGGGTGAGGGGCTGGACATGCCCCAGTGCTGGGACCCAGAAACCCCCCTGCCCTGGGCTGATGCCACAGCGTGGGCCTCTGCCCCCTCAGGTGAGACCCTCCTGCAGAGCTGCTCCAGATATGGGGGAACCAACACAGGAAGGATGTGGAGCTGCTGGAGAGAGTCCAGAGGAGGCCATGGGGATGCTCCCAGGGCTGGAGCCCCTCTGCTCTGGAGCCAGGCTGGGAGAGCTGGGGGGTTCACCTGGAGAAGAGAAGGCTCCAGGGAGACCTGAGAGCCCCTGCCAGGGCCTAAAGGGGCTCCAGGAGAGCTGGAGAGGGACTGGGGACAAGGGATGGAGGGACAGGACAAGGGGGGATGGCTTCCCACTGCCAGAGGGCAGGGTTAGATGGGATATTGGGAAAGAATTCCTCCCTGTGAGGATGGGGAGGCCCTGGCACAGGTTGCCCAGAGAAGCTGTGGCTGCCCTGGATCCCTGGAAGTGTCCAAGGCCAGGTTGGACAGGGCTTGGAGCAACCTGGGCTGGTGGAAGGTGTCCCTGCCCAGGGCAAGGGGTGGAATGGGATGAATTTTAAGGTCCCTTCTAACCCAAACCATTCCATGATTCTGTGATTCTGTGACTGGAGGCTCTGGGATCCAGGGCTCCCATCTGTCCCACACAGCCCCTCTTGTGCTTTCTTTCATGTCTGAAAGCAAAATGAATCTGGATTTTCAGACTTGTCAATTTAACACCTTTTCTGAGCACTGAACTCACTGAGTTGTCCTTATGTTTAAATCAGCAACATGAGAAATTGCAGCAGGAGGCAGGTGCAGGTCACAATCATGAAAATTCCTCTCTGAAAATATCTGGGGGCTTGGGGTTTTAAAAGTAGGGGGTTTTTTCAATTGGATAAAAAACAAGAGTCTGATAAAAATTGCCAACCCCTCATTTAAGCCTGATGGGATTGCTGAGGAAGCCAGAAGTGTTAGAGAGGACTCTTTGGTATCTGCAAACTCTCTCTGATTGGCATCAGTGGTGCCCCAAAATCGGTGACATTTTCTCCTAACACAAAACACTTTTCTCTTTTAACCTGGTAAAAACTGCTTGTTTCTCACAGATGTTCTCCAAGCACTCAGGGATCTGATGCAGGAGGAGCTGGAAGAGGCTGGTCTGGATTCCAGCTCCATGCTCTTCACACAGCACGAAGTGGCCAATTTGCTGGATACATCGGCTTTTCACTCCCCGGTCAGTCAGTCCAAAGCTCTTCTACATGGAATCTTCTTTGTGAAATCCATGGAATTCTGAGATGGGAAAAGCTAAATTACCATTTTCTGATTGTCCTAGAGCTATAAAGAGAAGGCAGAACTATGCATTAATCATTTTGATTATAGGAAATTCTATAAGAGACCTCAAACTACTCATTTTTAATAAGGAAATAATAACATCTATGGGATAATATGAGGAAGCAGCCTGGCAGTGATGCAGAAGGAAAACCAGCCATAATTAATCATTATTAACTAATTGAAAATTCACTGTAAGAGAGCTATTCAGCAATGACAGGGATCAGAGAGTGAAATCCTGTGGGGTGAAAAAAAAAACACCTGGTGTTGAATTAGTTGATCCTTTGCATAAAAACACTGACTCCTTCTTGAAGGGGTTTGGATTGGATGTGTGATGAGTCTGTCCCTCTCCTTGCAGGCCTTTGACTCTCTCAACTGCAACGGCAGCGAGGACCTGGAGCAGCTGCAGCTGGAGATGACGGATCTACGGCACGAAGTCCGAAGGCTAAAGGTGCAGCAGATTTCTTGGCTGGGGCCTTCTGCTGAGGTTGTCCATGGGGGTAAATGGTGTGGCCTGTTCCTCTTGAGAAGCTGCCAGTGTGCATTCTGGGCATTCCTCGTCACGAAGGAGCCTCTCACCCTCCGCTCTCCTTAATTGCCTCTTTCTCGCTCTCAACTTCAAACAAGAACTTGTTTGTACTCAAAGCCTGCAGTCCCTTCTTAGAAGAGTTAATGTATTTAGGAATACCAAAGAGTGTCTCAGGAATCAAACAGAAGGAACCACCTGGGCTCCCACCCTCTCCTGGCTGCAGATCCTTGGCGGGGCCGTCAGCACCATGGCTGTGTCCAAGGGGATTTCTGCAGACCAGCAGTTCACAGCCCAAAAAAGCTCTCCCTGTGGGGTGGACAGTGCACAGAGCTCCACTTGTAAAATAATATTCTGCTGGATAGGGGCTACAAGAGCAGGGCATTTTCTAGAGGATGTCCTGTCACTTGTTGCTTCTAACACGGTGAAAATATTTTCCGTAGTCTCTCCTGAAAGAGGTGGAGAACAGCAAGAAGTCAATGGAGGATGAGCTTCAGAGGCTGAACCAGGTTAGTGAAGGGGTTTCTGGGGCCCTCAGGGTGGGTTTGGTGGTTGGCAACTGAGAGGGATGTGGTGAGTTCACCAGAACTTCTCGCTGCTTCCAGAAAGCCCTGGGGTTCCTCTCCGAGAACCGGACGCTGCACAACAAGCTGCAGATGGCCGAGGTGGTGCAGAGACAGGCCCACAGCGCCGAGCAGGACTACGAGGAAGTGATCCACTTGCTGGAGGCTGAAATTGCAGAACTGAAGATGCAGCTGGCGGGGAAGAAAGCAAAACACGTCTCTGAAATAGAGGTAACACAAACCCCCAGCCTGGGAAAGCCCCCCAACCTTACAGACCCTTCCAGTCATGGCATGTTTGGGCTGGAAGGGGCCTTGAAGCTCCTCTCATTCCACCCTGCCGTGGGCAGGAACACCTTCCACAAGACCAGGTTGCTCAGCACCCCCATCCAGCCTGGTGCTGAACACTTCCAGGGACGGGGCAGCCACAACTGAGGTTCCCCTCCATCTTTTTGTACAGGAGAAAATGAAATAGCACAGAGATCATTTGTTGTGTGTGACCAACGTGCTCTCTGGGTCCGTGTTATAATTTGCATAATTTCCACCGTCCCTTTCCAAAGGACGCTGCTGTTGTGTGTGTAACAAATGTCACAAACTGGTGCTTCCAGAAACCAAGGCTGCAGCATCACCACCAGCTTTCTCTTCCCTCTGTGTCCCTGTGTCAGGAGGACGTCCTGGAGCTGAAGAGGCAGCTGTCCCTGGCTGATGGCCAGTTACGGAAATCAGAAGTCTCACGGAAGCGCCTGGAGATCTGCAACAGGAAACTGCTCCTGTTTGTGCAGGTGAGGTGAGGAGCCACCTCGGTGCTGGGCCATCACTGCAGCCTCTCACCTTCAGGGGCACTTTGCAAGTCCGATGAACTTCCTGCTCCATAAGCAAGAGGGTGTTTTTATTTTCCTCTCTCACCCTCAAAAAGACACTGTCTGTTGGTTGGGAGGAACCAGGGGATGAACTCATATATCTTCATATCCCTACGAGCGATGTCAGCTCTGTGGGGCAGGTTGTGCTGGTGGCTCTGCTCTCCCTGGCTCACCAGGATGTTCTGGTTGAGGCTGTTCCAGGAGCTCTGCTGTCCAAATCATCCCTGCAAACCTTCCCTTGGTAGGTTTTGCTTCTCTAGAAACCTGAAGAGTGGTTTTGTTCTCCCAGTGCTTCCCCCCCGACCCCCCAGATTCCCTGAAGAATCTCACACGTAACTGGTTTAGTCTTTTAATTGGCTGTTCTTCCACTTCACTCTCTGTACTGGCAATACCAGTGAGTGTAATCAGCAAACTGGCCAGTATGAGAGGCGCTAATCCTCAGTGTTGTGGCTTCTGGTGGCCTGTCCCAAGAGCTCCTCAAATGAAGAGGAAACAGTGGGACAAGAGGAAATGTGGATGCTGCGTCCTCTGCTCCAGAGAAGGAAGAATGAAAATGCCTCCAGACTGCAGCAGTACGTGCTGGAGCCTGGGCAGTTTTTGGGGTCAGACTTTGGGAATGCATTCAGCTTGACCCCAGGTCAAACATCACAGGATTTTGAGCACTGGAGCAAAATATCTTCCTTTTTTATCCTCCCCTCAGTAGTGTCTGAGAAGTCATGACCCGTGAATGCAATGAGAGCTTCCACGTGCAGGTACAAGCCAGGATCCAGGGATTGCTGGCAGCAGTGATCAAGGCTTGCTGACACACAGCCTGCCAAAGTGTTCTTTGGCAGAGGATTTTTGTGTTGCGTTTCATGTATTTTAGCCTTGGCATTAAAATGCAGGATTCAGATGTGTCTGTGGATTTGCATAGGCTGCCAATGCTGCCTGAGCTGAGAAAGGCCTTGAGATATTCCCTTCAAGGGCAATGAATAAGCAGAAGCTGATTACTGTCATATTAAATCTGATCATCAGGAAAAACCCATGGGGTTTGTTCTCAGGAATTATTCATTCCTACAAGTTTGAAATATCTTTTTTTTCTTTTTTCCTTCTTTTTTTCTTTTTTTTTCTTTTTGTTGCATGGCAGAATGTTCACAAGGTCCTGAGCACACCCAGTCATTTACCAGATGAGAAAAGGTAGGAGATGGCTCCTGGGAATGGTGAACAGCAACATGAAATGTCCTTTTCTGACCTTTCTCAGGGGAAGGTGCTTCACACATAACCTACCCAGAGTTTCTAAACATGCCTTGTTGCTTTGGAAGTGAAACCATGTGAGAAAGATGATCTGGGTGGGTTGGTGCTGGGGGGAGTTCAGGCCTTTTTGGGCAGTGAGTTGCTGAAACACTGCTCTGGTTAAGTTGCTCAGTTAGCAGGGACCTTAAGAAGGTCATTTCAGAATTTTGACCCACCTGCTTTTCCACACAGAAACCAGGTTTTGGCTCCAGGAGCACATCCTTATTTAGCAGCAGTTAGAGTAGATGAGTGGAAGCAAAGAGCTTCACATGGCTCTCAACTGCATGAATGGCTGCAGAAATAGAGCTCAGGCTCCTGGACTCCCCCCCCAGCCTGAACTTATGTCCTACCATGTGGGAATAAATATATCTCTGTGGTTTTAACTGATTAAATCATTGAAAGCTCATTATCCCATGGATAATGACCAGCCCCTTTAAAAAAACCCATGTTTTAGGAAGGATGGAAAACAATTTTGAAGTGTCCAGGATGGTTATTTCTAATGTAATGAGGGGGGAACACTTTAGAGAAATTCTAAAGAATACTTTGATATCTGTCTGTAACAAAACAGTGCAAGTCTAACAGAGAGTGTCCCGTGCTGCTGAGGGGATGATTGAGATGCAATCCCCCCTGAGCAGCCAGAATTTATGTAGCACCTCCCTCACGAGAGGCTGGCTGGGATTTTCAATGACCCTTCCATGACAGAAGTATTGATGGCACTTTCCGTGTTTATAAGCGTCGACAACGCAGCAGAAGAGGATAAAACAGATGCAGTCTCAGACACATCTCTTCCATCTTCAGATCTTGTTGACCTCTTGCTATCAGAAGCTAAAGAACTGTTAGCACCAATCCTCTCCAGCAAGGATGGTAAGCACTGAATTCACTGGAGAAACCTGAATCCAGGCAGGTCTCAGGGATGTCTGTCAGTGCCAGTGACAGTTTCCACGACCTTCCATCACTTTTGCCATCCCTGCCATACATGTACCTGATTGTCTCATGCAAACAGAGATGGAATTGCCCTCCCCCTATCCATGTGACTCATCCTGGAATCTGAAATGCAGACTGGAAGGGTAAGGAGTCAGAGGTGCCACTTGTGCTCAAGCCCACAGGAAAGACATTTATTCAGTGAAAAAAACCCAAAAACACACCTATCAGGCAGGAGGGTGGTTTCACAGAATGGTAGAAATGCTGGTTGAAAGGGACTGCTGGAGATCAAGAGTCAAATCTTCTGCCCCAGGCAGGACCACCCCACTAGATGGGATCCGTGGTGGCTTTAGCCAGCTGTAGTTCAGCCTCCCAGGATGCTGATCCACAGCCTCCCAGGATGACGTGTTCCCTCACTGAGGAAGGCTTTCCCAGCACCCAGCCTGACCTGCCCCAGGGCAGGATGTGGCCACTGCCCCCAGTTAGAGTGTCTGCACTGCCAAGAACAGCTGGGCTCCAGTATCCTCCTCACTGCCCCTGCAGCAGCAGCGCCGTGGCCTCTCCTCTTGCCAGGTTAAACACACCCAGCTCCCTCAGCCCTCCCCACAGCCTCTCCTTGCAGGTTATGAGCCCTGGGGCTCCCCTTGCTGGACCCCATCCAGTTTCCAAATAGCTTGGAACCAGGGATCCAGCCCTTCCTTGCACCATCCAGGTAGGGCTGCAGCGATGCTGAGCAGAGGGAACAGTCAGCTCCCCGTTTCCTTGGTGTGCAAAGCAGCCTCAGTGATGAGAAAATCAGAGAAAAGGCATCCAGCTCCGTGGGAGTCTGGATTAACTTCCCTAGCCTGGGACTCTGAGCTAGTCCCTGAGCCACAAACAATTTTTGGCAGCTGTTATTTGGCCCCACTTTTCTCCTTGCACACAAAATGAGTTCCTGACCTCCTCCGTGTCACGGCCAGGTGAGCAAACAGCCCCGAACAGCTGCCCAGGCTTTGCTCTTGGATGCTCTTCACCAACTCACCATGGCCATGGCCCAGCACTGGGTTTGTCTCAGGGAAATAATTGCAGCCTTTTGGGAGCACCTCTGATATATGAGGGTGTCAGCATTTTCCAAGTTCCTGCCTCATTTACAGGGGAATTGTAATAATGTAGCAGCACGTCGGGCATGTTTTCTAAGCCTGCACTTACACTTGGCTGTGTGCTTCCATTTGCAGCTCTGCCATGGGACAGGGACCAGTGCCTGCCTGCTGAAGGAATCCCAAATTACAAGGAGTAGGTGTCAGAACCCTGGTCTGTAATTTTGACAACACACATACTAAAAATTCCTGTTTGGTTTGTTGGGGTTTTTTAATCAAAACTGTTGCTTGACAACTTTTAATCAGATAGAGGCCTCCAGATGGCCATGTCAGAGAAATGCATCCCTTTCTAGACAGCAAGAGCCTTCCTGTCCTGCACAGTGAAGGATGCTGTGAATTCCTGGATCTCTCTTTTGCTTTCTAAAATGTTGGTTTTCCTTCGGGCCAGATGGGGATTTGTGGCTCTGTGGCATTTTTATGGTGCATAAGGGAAAAAGCATCACTGAATGTGTTAATCTTTTATGCTGTGGTATCAGGATGCTGTGAAGCCCTGGCCAAGGAGAGCAGGATGGTGTGGTTTTGTTTGAGCCTTAAATTTCCCTAAGACCTCTTAAATGGCTTATATTTAACACAGCTGTATCCTAAAGTTATCTGCTGAAAGGGCACTTTAAGACCTAAATGTCTCCTACTAATGTCTGAGCTGATCTCCTTAGCTCAAACTGAAGACTTGCCAGCACAGTTCTTCAGTTAGGTACAAAACAAGGCATTTGAAAACCACGATTTCAAGGTTATAAAAAGCATTTTCAGGCAAGACAGATGGCCAGTACAGACCACTAGCCAGGCAAATCCGTGGCCTCCTCTTCTTTCCCAAGTAACCAGTGCTGTCTTCACGCTGTGTCCTCCTCCCAAACCACCTAACCCCTATTTCTCCTCTTCAGCCATCTCCATCAGAAGACCACGTGGCCCCCCCCTGCCAGCCAGAGCAAGAGTGACCAACCACAGCCACCGAGTCCAACGGAGCTGCCCAAGAAGCCGACATAAATGTCCCGTGGCTTGGCCGTGCTCTGCACCACGACCGCCCACACCACCGGGGCTGCTGTGCTGGGAGAGGGGAAGGACACCCCATGGGCACCTCTCCAGGCAAAGCAGACTGAGAACAAGCTTCCTGACACAAGACTGACTCTTCCTCACCCTCCCAGACTTTTTCAGCGACCTCCCCTGCGCGTCTACCTCCGAGTTACCACACAAGGCTACTTGCTCACGGTTCTGCAGCTTTATAGGAAAAGTATTCTCAAGAGGCTCCAGGGGCCTGGATTTCAGTGGCAGCCTTTTTAGAGCTTGTATTCTGGGTAGTAAGAGGAGCGTGAACTCCCCTGAGGGACTCAGGGGTCTCCAACAGACTCCTTTTGGTATTTCAGATGGAAAACCAAAGTCTATTTTAGCGACTGTAATCAAAGCAGCTTAGTCTGTAGCATCCTAGCTGTCTTGGGATAGGTACTGCTCTTTTTATTCTTTTTGTATAGCTTATCCCAGCTGCAATGCTTGAAGTGGAAAGCAGCATCCCAGCAGCCAGTTTGTTGGACCAAGAGTGCAGAGATATCCAGGGGACACTCCTGTGACAACGGACACCTCTTCCCGGGATGTGAGAGGGGACATAGTGGACATAGTGGACATAGCTCAGTAAAGGTCCGTGGTGTCACTGGGAAATGAGATACACCCAGTGCAAGACTGTACTGTGAGAGGGCAACGAATGGGGCACAGAGCTGAGATGAGCAGAAGGTCTGGAAAATAAAATGGAAACGCTTCTCACGAGCGTTTGCTCTCTGGGCTGTGATTGCAGGGGTTGTGCTCAGCATCCCTGAGACAAAGGCACAGCCTGAGTCCATTTTCCCTGCCCCTGATTTGGGCAGCTCCCAGTGAGATGCACTGAGAAGCTGCAGGGAAATGGGGTGCAATCTGGCTTTTACAAATAATTTGTTAAGATTACTTCAAATCTCCTTTGTGGGGGTTCAAAGCATGTGGATCCTTTATAGCCCAAATTAAAGGCTTAGGAAAAATCGTGACCCTCACCAGCATCTACTGCACTTGGGGATATCACTACACTGCTAAACCAGTAAGTGTGTGATGGAATATATCATATAAATTACCACTCTGAAATGTTGGTTAAACATAATTTCATAGCTTGAAGCAAATAACTTTTGTGAGTCCATGCCTTCAAATATAATTTAAAGGACTTCCTTCAAAAGGAAACATAATTCTTTGGACCACTCACAAGGAATATTCCCAGGGAGAAGATACTTTCAAAAGATATTCATCTTGGGATAGCTTATGGTTAATAACTCATTTCCCAGTGCTCTCTGCTTCGATGGAATGATAGTAAATACTGGTGTTACCTGTGGGTTTGGCCCTATGGCTTTGTTCTCAGCCCCTGTGTTATACAGACAGGGAAGAGGTGCACAGAGCAAAATCTAGTCCCACCAGTTTGGTGTCCCCTGACTCTGGAAAAACACCTCCAGTTCCCCTGGGGAGGATCCCAGGGTGCTCCTGGCAGTGTCTTCAGAAGCTTTTGGCCCGGAGCTGCATCCTGGGAGATGTCTGTGGCCACTGCTCGCCCTTGGCAGGCAACAGCACCAACAAGATTTTGGGAAGTGGCAGGTTTTGGGCTGTGCTGTGTCATTCCATCCACCCAATGGCACTTGAGACCCTTGGTAGAAAAGGGAGGAGTCATGAGGGAAACAGAACTGTTTAGGCTGAACTTAAATCTTGTGGGAATCAACAGAAGTTTTAATTCCAACTGTGAGAATCACGGAATTTTCTCAAAATACAAGTGTTGAACTCCACCACCCTGAGTGCTGGAGAGGCACAGCCCAGTCCTGTCCCAGCAGGGACCAGTTACATGGTCTAAAAGAGAATATCCTTGATGCTGCTTCCATGGTCAAGTGATCTGCATTTGGATGTCCCTTTGTATCAAAGCATCCCGGTGGGTGAGGGCCTGGATGAGACAAGCACCCTGCAGTTGGTGCTGGCACCTGGTAAGGGGTGGAAACAACAGGGTGCTGCCCCAGGGCCGCTGGCTTTGGGGTCTCCTGAGCTGTCTGTCAGCAGAGGAGTTGGCAAGAAACGAACCTTTTAAAAAGCCCTGACAGTTCTGTGCTCTCTGGAAAAGAAATCCTCCATGTTCCCATCAGCCACTGGAGACCCTCGTGTGGAGCAAGGATCAAGCACACTGTGTGCTTTCCAAAGCTCTCATATTTCTTTTCTGGTTTCCAACATTTTCTTTGAATTTATCACGTTCCTTTTGCCTTTGCTTCGAGCACAGAAAACTTTCTGCTCTCTATTAATAGCGTCGTTACCAACCACTCCCTTCTCAGGGCAACGCTCAGAGCTAAGCTCTGCTGAGCTCCTGGAGGTGCTGCTGATTCCAGTGACCCAGAATAACAAACCTGTGTCATGCTTTACTCCCAGGCAAGTGGGATTAGGCAGAACTCAAGACTGACGTCTCCTCACGGAGCGACCGAGAGGCAAAAAGGGGAAGCGCTGAAGGAACAAAGAGCACTCGAGGAGAAGTCACGGAGAACGTCACTGAACAGGATGGGTTTTATTTACACAGGGCCTGTCTGGCACTGCAAGGCAGCTGAATTCTGAATTCATTTGCAATGTTTTAGCTTGCTTGTAAGGCTGGGGAGATGTGCTGCTGTGGCAGTGTGCTGTGGTTGTCTCGGAGTATCTGTCTCTGAGGGTCCCAGCGTGACTGCACAGAAATGAGGAGTGTTTGTGATAAAAATGAGTCCTGCACGGTGTCAGATCATCCTGAGTGGCTCCCAGTGCCTGAAGGGAGCCTACAAGAAAGATGCAGAGGGATTTTTCACAAGAATATGTAGTGATAGGACAAGGGGGAATGGATTCAAACTGAAAAAGAGGAGGGTTAGATGGGATATTGGGAAGGAATTGTTCCCTGTGAGGGTGGGGAGGCCCTGGCACAGGTTGCCCAGAGAAGCTGTGGCTGCCCCTGGATCCCTGGAAGTGTCCAAGGCCAGGTTGGACGGGGCTTGGAGCAACCTGGGCTGGTGGAAGGTGTCCCTGCCCATGGCAGGGGGTGGAACTGGATGATCTTTAAGGTCTCTTCCAACCCCAACAATTCTGGGATTCTATGGTAAGATGGAAAATGGCAAATATTTTATGATCCACGTGAGAAAATGCAGAGTCCCCGTAAATGGAAATAACACACTGCAAGTGATAAACTCATAAAGATGCATTTAAAGAGCATCAGCAGGGTCAGCTGTTGAGCTGGAAGACTTGGGGGTTAACCATCAGTGGTGTGATGGGTTTATTTTGTATTTTTCTTATGCAAAGAGAAATTCAGTTCTTAACTATTGGTGAGTCCCAGGTTGGAGGAACCTCTTTTCCTCGCAAAATAAACCAAAACAAGATTTGAGTATCTGTTTTAACAGCTGCAAAAGCAGTGCAGGAGGGGCAGGCAGTCACCTCAGCATCGTGTTGAAAGGTGAATGTAGCAGAGAGCCATTAACACGCTGTTTATCTGCAGTCCCGTGGGCCAGGTAACCCGATCTGCTCTAAATGTGCTGGGCTTGAGCTCATTAGGTCTCCAGTTTCGTCCCTGCCAGTGATCTCTGCCATCTCACTGTGTGACCTTGGGCAGCTCACTTCAGACCTGTTTTGCTCCAGAAAATAAATGGGACTGAGAGTATCAGGGGAAGACAAAGCCCCGGGGACCCATAGGATGTGAGGGGACAAGAGGCACAAGAGGATCTGTGAGTGGTGTGGGATCAGGTACTGCTGATCTGTGTTTTCGGAGAAGAACGTGAAGAAAGCCTCGATATTTCAACTTTTGCTGGCTCTCAAAACAACAGATCCAACTTGTGCTTGGCTTTGGCGAAACAGAGCAAGGTTAAAAGCGCTAAAGGTTCCTCTACAGAGGTGTGAAGGTGAAATCCATCCCTGAGCACTGCGGTGGAGTGGGCTGGGTGTGTACTCCCCACGCTGGAGCTCCAGAGTCTCCTCTTTCTCCCAGCTCCCCTCAGTGACACCTGGACTGCAGCCCAGGTTTAGAGAGTGGGAATCCACATCCACGCTGCTTTAAATATGGCTCTAAAAAGCAGGTGAACTTTGCTGCTGAATTTTTAAGGAGGCTCTTTAATGATTTAGTGGTGCTGATTTTCTCAGGGTTGTGGAAGGGGGCTGGGCAGCACCTCCTCAGGGTGATGATGCAGGAAGGGCCGGGCTGGTGGGGTGATACTGCCTTTCCTTCTCTGCTTTTCCTCAGGGGTTGGGGGGCTCTTTCTCCTGCTCAGGGCTGAGTCTGCCCCAGCACCTCCATGACAGGCCACACAGTTTTCTGGCCTCACTGACTGCAGTGTCACCACAAACCTCCATTGCAGCTTCTTCTGGGGTTTTCATAATAATGTAAATAAGAAATACGACGCCATGAACAATCCCTACAAGCTGTCTCTGCATGTGTTGCACCAACTCGCCTGAATTTCTGGGGAATTTTTTAAATTTATGCCAACACATGAGGTATAAATGCTAAGACAAAGAGAGTTTGCAGTGAAAAGTTCTTGGTAATGGGGGAAGTGGAGGCTGAATGGTATCTCCAGACCAGATGTCCTTCCTGGAAGACCTTCTCTTTTCTAACTGCAGGACTGGCAGCAGTTCCTGGGCTGGACTGCTGTGGGGTGAGAACTTCTTTCTGAGCAACTCCCATGAGAAATACTGAGGGTCAGTGCCAGCCCTTGAGGCAAGAACCCACTCCTGGCAGGGGGAAGGACAGCCAGAGACTTCAAGGCCCTTGGGAATGCTGTGGAAAGTTGGCTTTGCATCAGGGAAAAAGTTGACTGACACTGGAATATGCCAAGGTGACTGTTTGGCAGCGGGAGAAAATAAATGTTGGAAAATGGGAATTACAGGCAGGGCTGCCCAGCAGAGAAGAGGACAGAATGGGACTCACCAAAATCTCATCCAGTTTTTATGACTAGAACAAAAGGAAAACTACCACAAAGTGGTTATGGATTGGTGTAAGTTTTGGAGCAAGAGGATGGAAATAATGGGGAGGTTCCTCCTGTTTTTGCTGATAAAATTTACAGTGAATAAGGAACAGGAGAGAAATGTAATATCATTGGGAAAAAAAGCTCCATTCTGAATGGGAAATTAAAAATATTTATTTATCAATAAATATATTTATATATTCATAATATTTATGTATAAAGTAAATGTAGATGTTGCAGGTCTGGGGTAACTTTGTGGTTTTTAATGCGCAGCTGTTGTGCAAAGGCCTGTGGGAAAAGTGCTCTGACTTCACAGGCTGCAGCTTTGGGAGCTTTGACATTCGATGGTCTGTGAGTTCGTTGTTTTGAGAGCAGTGTCAGAGCCAGGCTCCTCAGTCTGAGATAGCAGAACATTTCAGGAAATACTGCTGATCAGAAATAGGACCACAGCTTCCTGAAATGCCCCCAGATAAGGGGATGCTCTACAGCTGGAAGTGATAAGGAGGCAGGAAAAGACAAAGCAGCAGTAAATGTCATTTACTGCAATAACATCAGGCAAAGTAGCATTTGGTTCCTGGGGAGATCCTGAAAGGAGGCTTTGAAGGTGCAAAACACACCCAAGCTGGTCTCCCTCTCCTTCACCACTCTTGGTGCCACATGCCCCTCCTGTGCCTGCCCAGCAGCTCTCTCTGCCACCCCAAACTTCTCCAACCTGGGCATCGTTTCCTCCAGAGAGCCACGTCCTCAAGGGCCATCCCTGGGTGGTGACAACTCTCTGACACAGCCTCTTTCCCCAGCACATGCCTTGACAAACAGGGCTCACTCACCGTGTGCCCCCAGGCACAGGGCAGGGACAGTGTCCCCAAGGCTCATGAGCCGATGTGCAGATTTGCAGAGGTGGTGGGAGAGGAGGAGGTTGAGAGGTGAGAATGCACCCCAGTGTCCTTCTCAGCATCCCTCCCTGTTGATCCTCGTTGGAGATTTCAGTTATGGGAATATTTGCTCGAAGTGTGAGTTTATAGTCACGTAATAAATCAAATAATACAATGCACTGATGGAATTAAAGGCTGAGGTGAGCAGCACCTCTGTTAATGATTGTGATGAGCGGGATTAGGTTGTGTTTGGGAGCTGTGGTTCTGCCTCCTCCAGCCCTGACCTGATCAGGTTCCTCCTCAAGGGCAGGTGCCAGTTTGGGAAGAACCACAGAATCATGGAATATGAGGAGTTGGAAGGGACTCACAAGGATCGTCGAGTCCAACGCCTGGGCCTGCCCAGGACACTCCAACAATCCCACCCTGTCCCTGAGAGCGTTGTCCAAACACTCCTTGAGCTCTGGCAGCCTTGGGGCCGTGACCGCTCTGCAGGATGGGGTGAACTCATCACACACCCCCCTTCGTTATTCTTCTCTGCCCTCACAAGATCCCACTTGGAGACATGTCCAGGTTGGAAGTTCTCATCATAGGAAGGACCTAGAGCTGCTGGAGAGAGTCCAGAGGAGACCACGGGGATGCTCCAAGGCTGGAGCCCCTCTGCTCTGGAGCCAGGCTGGGAGAGCTGGAGGGCTTCAGCTGGAGAAGAGAAGGCTCCAGGGAGACCTGAGAGCCCCTTGCAGGGCCTAAAGGGGCTCCAGGAGAGCTGGAGAGGCACTTTGGACAAGGGCCTGGAGGGACAGGCCAAGGGGGAATGGCTTCCCACTGCCAGAGGGCAGGGTCAGATGGGATATTGGGAAGGAATTCTGCCCCGGCACAGAATCCCCGCTCCCCCCTCACAGCGGGACCCGCCCGCGCCTCACGGCCACGGCGGGGTGGGGAGGGCGCGCACGTGCGCGGGCGGGGCTTCCCGCGCCCCCGCAGCACACTGGACAGCGCCCGGCGGGGGCGGGCTGGGGGCGGGCCTGCGGGGCGGGGGCGGGGCGGGCGGGGCCGAGGGAGCCGCGGGAGCGGGACCGGAGCGGCCGGGCTGGGGCGGCACCGCTCTGAGGGACCGGCACCGGCACCGCTGTGAGGGACCGGCACCGGCACCGGGATCGGACCGGCACCGCTGTGAGGGACCGGCACCGCTGTGAGGGACCGGCACCGCCGTGAGGGACCGGCACCGGCACCGGCACCGCCGTGAGGGACCGGCACCGGCACCGCCGTGAGGGACCGGCACCGCCGTGAGGCACCGGCACCGGCACCGGGATCGGGACTGCACCGGCCGGGCTGGGGCGGCACCGCCGGGAGGGAGCGGGACCGGGCGAGGAGGAGGGTATGGCATATGGGGCATGGATATGGGGTATGGTAGATGGGAATGGCTATGGGATATGAGGTGTGGGAAATGGAATATGAGATGTGGGGCATGGGTATGGGGTGTGGGATATGGGATATAGGGTGTGGGGTATTTGATATAGGGTGTTGGGTGTGGGATATGGGGTGTTGGGTGTGGGATATGGGATATGGGGTGTGGGGTATTGGATATAGGGTGTTGGGTGTGGGGTGTGGGATATAGGGTGTGGGATATGAAATATGAGATGTGGGGTACGGGTATGGGGTGTGGGATATAGGGTGTGAGGTATTGGATATGGGATATGGGGTGTGGGATATGGGGTGTTGGGTGTGGGGTATGGGGTGTGGGGTGTGGGAGGTGGCCCCGGTGGGCAGTGTCCTGTGGGGGTCCCCCGTGTCCGCCGTGTGGGGCCGGGCAGAGGGAGGGGTGGAGGGGGCTGAGCTCGTCCCACCCTGAGTGCCCGGGCCCCTCTGGGGCGCTGGGTGGGTGGGTGGGTGAGGGGGTGCCAGGAGCCGCTGTCCCTCAGATACGACAAACCGACAGGGACATTTTAGCCGTAATCCTTTGGGATCAGGGAGGGAGCCGGTGAAGAGCCGGGCGGTGGGCTCGGGCTGGTGGGAGATCTCTTTGGGTCTGCTGAAAAGATACCCCACTTTGAAAGTTGTCAGATTTGTGTCCTGCGTGGAGGGGGTTGGATGGGCGCTGGCTCAGGGTGGGCTGAGCCAGGGAGGGGCTGTGAGTGGGACCCGGCATCAGCTCTGGAGAGCCGGGAACGGCACCTGCTGAGCTCCCCACAGGGCTTGGGGCTTAAAAAACCTACCCAGAAACTAGCCCTGCAATATTTGTGAACTCGAAGGGTGACTCTGGTAAATGCCTTTAAATGCAGTGACAGATTTAACAGGTTGCCCAGAGAAGCTGTGGCTGCCCCTGGATCCCTGGAAGTGTCCAAGGCCAGGTTGGAGGGGGCTTGGAGCAACCTGGGCTGGTGGAAGGTGTCCCTGCCCATGGCAAGAAGTGGAACAAGATGAACTTTAAAGTCCCTTCCAAACTAGTCTGTGATTGTATGTTTTTAGCTCAGCTTCCAGGTAAACCAAATTGTTCCCTGGGTCATTTGGCTTAATTCCTCCAAGTAGTAAAATCGGCTTGTAGATTGTGAGAAGGGGTTTGCGTTGATGGCACCACTGATCAGGTTGGGATAATGAGAGCCTGTGTTCAGAGAAAGTACAACTGCGAACTTCACTCAAGGCAGGCTGAAACAATTTGATGCTGGTGCTTTGCTGCACTGTCAAGTGACCTCCTACCTGGATCTACTCCTGTTTTATGTGTTAAACAGAAGCACAGAGGGGGATCCTCAGCACAAGAAGGATGTGTTCCTGCTGGAGCGAGTCCAGAGGAGCCCATGGAGATGCTCCAAGGGCTGGAGCCCCTCTGCTCTGGAGCCAGGCTGGGAGAGCTGGGGGGGTTCACCTGGAGAAGAGAAGGCTCCAGGGATGCTTTCAGTGCCTAAAGGGGTTGGAGAGGGGCTTTGGACAAGGGATGGAGAGGCAGGACACAGGGAATGGCTTTCCACTGTGCAAGAGCAGGGTTAAATTGGATATTGGGAAGGAATTGTTGGCTGTGAGGGTGGGCAGGCCCTGGCACAGGTTGCCCAGAGAAGCTGTGGCTGCCCCAGGATCCCTGGAAGTGCCCAAGACCAGGTTGGGTGGTGCTTGGAGCAACCTGGGCTATTGTTGGGACTGGATGAGCTTTAATCTCCCTCCAACCCAACCCAGTGTGTGATTCTTTGTCTCCATTCTGAATTTGTATTTGAGTATTGAACTGTTTCCTACAGTGTGGATGGATAAAATGGTGTGGTGTGACTTCCTACAGAACAGTGAGGTGAGGAACAAGCGGCTCTCCTTCAGGAATTCTTATCTCCTGCTGAGGGCTGGCACATGTCAGGGATTTGGTGTGTTGCTGTGCATAAAAGTTGTGTGGTGATTCTTTGGTGAGAAAATTAACTTAGGAGATGAAGGTGAGGCAGTGTTAGGCGTGGAGCTTGTTTTGATACATCCATGGAAGAGAAACAGCTCTCCCAGGCTCTGAGGGCAGAGTGCTGGACACTGTTCTGGTTTCTTCTTCCCCTCAGCCAAAAAGACCTGATTGTGTGGTAAAGACTTGTGTGGATGTTGCTGTTTGAATGTTTGTGTTGCTGGCTGTTGATCATGACCCACAGCAGGACTCCAGGCACCTCTGCCAGGTGTACAGGGCAGTGCCCAGGCTTTACTGCTTCACCCCTGCACCACAGGTGTTTCTCAGGGGGCGAGATCAAGTCCTGCTTGAACAGATGTCTGCTTCTAAAAGATGGTAAAGGCTTATTCTGGCGCCCTTCCACCTTGAGGCTTCCTTGTGTCAAGCTTCAAACGACTCGTTCTTAAGTTCTGAGGTGAAAAAGCTCTAATAAATATCCTACCGCTTGGTACCATCTTATTATTATGAGTATAAAGCATTAATTTCTGACTCATCAGTCACTCAGTGAAAGGCATTTCAGGCAGAGGAAATGTCACACACCTTTCTCTCTCCCTTTCTCCAGAAGGGGGGGAGGAAGGACTAGAACCCTGTGGAGTGTCTCTTTTCTAAGTGGAAATATCAGCTTAGCTGGGTGCCACAGCTGGCTTTCACGTGTTTCTTTGAGGAAGTCTGGAATTCTGCTATTTTCAGCGGTTCTTTGTCAAAAGCAAAACAAAAAAACCCCTGCAAGAACGTGCTCAGTTGTTCTCCTGCAGCTGAAAAGCAGCCACCACAGGTGGGAGAAGTTGCTGAAGTCACTTGCTGCCCAGCTCCCCCGTCCAACAGGCAGCTCCACCGTGGAGTGAGCCCACCAAGTTCTGTGCCTGGATGAGAAGCAGGGGTGGAGGGCTTTGATTTGGGGCTTTATGTGTGTTTAATCTATAATATCTTGGTTGGTAGGGGGGTTACTGTGTGGGCTGTAGCAAAGGGGGCCGTGGGGAGCCGAGGCTGTTGGGTCTCTGCCGTTGGCACCGCTGTCAGCGTGGCACTGCTGTGTGACATGCAGGGCTGCTGTTTTCTGGGTTCAGGTGTGCAAGGATGGAAATGTTCTCGGTATCTGTTGGGATGGTTAAGGTTGTCATTGCTGGAATGGTTGTTATTAGCTAGATCTGTTGCTTCAATGTATCGACAACTCCAACCTCTCTGAATTTTTACCAACTGCTCCAGGCTGGGCCAGCTGGAATCCAGCTCTTCCCTGGTGTTACCCTATGGATGCTCCAGCTGTGGGTTGGGGTTTCTGAGTGCTCATGCTGCAGTTTAGTGGGTCACTGCTCATCACTTGAGCTGTGTTTCCTAATATTGTTTTTTAGCCAGCTGCAAATAGGAAGTCAAGCAGGAAGCCTGGGCCACTGCAGAGCTGGAGTTGGATGGATATTTAAGGAACAGACACACTCTGTGGTTGTGTCATTTCTTTCTGGTTTTCTTTACAAGACAGTTGAACATATCTGTTTATAATTGGAGTGGATGACTTTAGAAACACGTCTCTTTGGTGCAAAAGCCCTGGGAGGGTGCAAGTCTGGAGCTGCCCAGTGGTGACACCTGCGAGTCTTTGTCCTTATCAGTGCTGATCATCACCTGTAGCTTGGTGTGCAGAGTACCCACCTTTCACTTCCTCTTCTGATGGTTTTTTCCTTTTTTTCCAGGAATTATGGCAGGAGTCCCCTGTGCCTTGAGAAGCAGAATGACTGTCTTGCATCTCTGTTTTGAGGAGAGGGCATAGAAGCTCTGCTGCCACTGCACTCTCCCGAGGTACGAAAGGTTTCTAGGGCAGGTGAGAGTTCTCAGCTGTCTTGTTTCCACAGCTCCCTGTGGATATAATAGTCACTGGCTCCTTCTCAACCTTCCCTCAGCTGGAGAAGTAGAGGGCAATAAACCTGTGGCAGTCGGGTCCAGCTGCTGCTGAGGGAGCAGGGGTTCTGTCCAAGCAGCTCCATGAAGGCTGCTGAGCTACAGCTTGTGCCATCCTGTCGTTCTGTGACTTCGTTTCTGGGCTGTGGGTGATTCCACACCGACTGCTCTGTCCCCAGACTTCCTGCTGTGGAGGTCCCTGCCCCTCTCCTGCAGAGGTGCAGGAACTCCTGGCGGAACAGCGAGGTCAGAACAGGGAGCACGATCCCAGCTAAATACGTTCGTTCCCCAGCTCCTCGTGCTCTGCTCGCACTCGCTGGGAAGGTTCCTGCTGCCCTAATCATGTTACGGTGTTGCCCTCCAAGGTGCCCGGTGCCCCCTGGCTCGGGTGTCCGATACCTGATCACAGCCTGGGGTGTGCTGGGCCCTGCTTGGGGCTGGATGCTCTGCTCATGAGTTCTCTCTGCATTGACTGGCTCAGCACCACTGGACTGGCTTTTAGTACCAGCCAGGCTCAGAGATCCAGCGAGTCCTGGACTTTGCTCCTTGGATAGCGTGATCCTGTGCAGAGGAACTGTCTGATTGTGCCACCCTATTTCTACAGACATTCCCGCCTCTCAGGTACTCAAACTTTTTCAAGTCCTTTTCCCCCTCTCCCTTGCTTAGATTTCAGTGTGTAATGGCGTTTTGCAGCAGTCTTTGAGGGAGTATCTACTGCTGTTTGCATTTTTAATTCACGTTTCAGTTCAGGTTTTGGGCTTAAAATGTCAGGGCTAAGTTGTCTTGCTGCTGTGACTGTTGAGTTCAGGGCTACACTGCGTCATGTTGCCCAGGGCTGTGTCTGCTTAGCCGTGGAATTTGAGTGGGGTGGAATCAGCACAGTCTCCATCAGCCGACCAGCCTTTTGTGCTCCCGATGTTCACAGATGGTGTTAGAGGGAGCAGTACAAAGGAATTCCTAAAGGAATAGCAGAAAGCATCCTAATAACCTTTTTTTTTTTAATGGTTTATATGTGCTTCCTTGAGATGCTGGTTACTGATGCACATTTGAGGGTTAAAACCCTGGCAGGAGAGTGTGAGGGAGGAATCCTGATGAGAACAGTGAGAGGTGGCTGGGAGCAGCGAAATGCTGAGGACTGAATTGTTCCCCTTGCCTGCAGCTCTTGCCTCAGTTCAGCTGGAACAGTGGGCATCCAGGCAGTGGGATGTGATTGCCAGCTTAGCATCAGGCATGTTCTTTCAGCAGGCTGTTTCCTTTTCCTGCCTTTCAGTGGGCTAAAACAACTCAAGGCTACTTTGTGCACAGAAGCATTTTAACACTGAGATTTGGGAAGCTGTGGAAGCTTTTAACAGGGAGGACTTTGCCTAATGATTACAAATATAATGTGGGAAGGGGGGGTATGGGGAAGAATCACCATGTAAGCTTCCTAAGGCTCCTAAGTCAGGCTTCTTCTCCAGAAGTATGATTGATTCTGGCTTTACATCTCTGTTTTGTGCTTTAATTATTGCGAGTTGTTGGAGCTCTAAGTTGTTGGGAAGCTGCCCAGGGTGCTGCTGTGTGCTGGACACAGCCCTGGACTGGGACTGCAGAGACTTGTCTCTTCTGTCTCTGCCACCTACTAAACAAGATATTCTATCTAATATATCTCCTCTCCATTTGTAAAAAGAGTTAAGGCTTCCAGTAAGGTCTGTAAAAAATTGCTTAGAGTGTATTGCGCTGTTTGGATCTAAAATTTTCCAATTTCTGTCTGTTCCAGGTGCGTGGTGAAAATGGTGCAGAAATACCAGTCCCCAGTTCGAGTCTACAAATACCCCTTTGAGCTCGTCATGGCAGTGAGTAACACCCAGCATTTCTGCTGCTCCAGCTGCTCAGGGTGCAGCCTGGGGCCAGGGGGAGGTGGGGTGGCTTTGGCTGGATCTGTGTGACAGCCCTGGGGGTGCAGTGCAGGAGCAGAGGCTCAGCTCTCCTCCCATCTTCCATGAAAAATGAGAATTGATACGCCGGGATTTTAAGAGGGGCAGCTTAGTCGTTAGGAGGGGAAAAAATCCAACAAAACTTTCTGTAATTATTATTTGACAAGGAGGGAAAGAAAATTGTGACATTCAGTTGGTCAGGGTCAGTTTGTGGCCAGACACTGTGTCTGCCTTCTCACCGAATGCCCCTTGGTTCAGGATCTCTCCAGATGTGATCCCAATCAGCACTGTAGAATGGATATATCTAGAACTGGATTCTCAATGATAGTGAGCTTTTGGATTTGGTTAAAAGCTGGAAATCTTTTGAAAAAATTCTTCTTTATTTTACCTCCCTATCCACTCCATGACTGAACTGCTGGGAGATGTCTCTCTGAGTTTTGTGATTTCCCCAAGGGGCTTGAGAGCTGTCATTGAAGCTCATCCAGTGGTGATGCAGAAAGCTGTTGTGACCATGGCAGATGCCTTAAGTGATTTTCTGGACTTGGTCACAACCAGGTGTGAATCCAATACCCTTCTGAAAGGTTTGCTGTTTGCATTTCAAGGGCAGCCCTCAGCGTTTGGGCATTGCCCAGAGATGCTTATGGAGTCTTGCAAGGCTTTGTCCTGTAATCTGTTGGGCATTTCAGTCCCTGAGATTTGGTTTCTTTAGCCTATTAGAAGCCAAGAATGAAGATGGAAAACTACAGCCATTGCAGGCAGCTGAAATTCCCATGAATGGAAGGGAGAGCCTACATTGTGTTCCTCTTGACAATGTTTCCTCTTCCAGTTTCCTGGGAAATACAGGAATGTGTGAGAATAAGACACAGTCCTTGTGATGAAGGTACTTTAGAAGGTACATGATGCCTTAGCTCCATGCACACCTCTCCACATTCCTGTTGCCTCTATTAGCAGATAAACCTACCACCAGATGCTCCTCAGTTGATTGGCTGCTAATATAGGAGGGCTGCCTCGAGACAAATCCCCTGTAAGCTTGTTAGCACATGCCTGAAGGGCTTTAGGGGCTCGTGGGTTTAGTTTTCAAGTGGGTTAGTTTTACTTGCTTTCAGGTTTTCAACACAACAGGGTAAAATTCCCTGGGATTTCAGGGCTGGCTTTGTGAATGTCATCCTTCAGTCGTTCAGCAAAGCTTAGCTAAGTCGTTACTCCTCTTTCTCATGAAGAAGTTCCGTGTCCAGGCTCACCCAGAGGACTGTGCAGCGGAGTAGGGAGCTGAATGCAGACCCCTTAGTGCCACCCTGATGTCCTGTGGAAATCAAGTGTTCCCAGCAGGCTCTGGTGTTGGGAAGCAGCATCTCAGTGTAGTGGTGGTGTGTGCAGGCTGAGCTGGGTGCAGACTCTGCTCCCACAGTCGGCGTGTTCAGATGGAGCTCCCGCGCGTGTGGAGGCAGCGAGGATCTCGCGGAGCTGTCAGGTACCAGCTGTCAGTTGCTGGAAGTTTTGCAGGGAGAGTGGGCGTGTAGTGAAGCTGTTTTGCTCCTCAGCACGTGGCATTGCTGTTAACCTGCTTCCCCGTAAATCTGACAGCAGCTTCCTCAGCGCTGGGAACCTGCTATTCAGCTGCTTTCATCTTTCCCCCTCAACTGCTTTGTGGGAACCTTTGAAGTGCCGAGGTCTCAGGCTGTGGTGCTGAGGTCTCAGGCTGTGGTGGGAAAGCAGAGGTCACAAGGTGACCTCGAGACACCCCTAAGTTTTACAGATCTCTAGGAACCCTTCAGCCTGACACATTTGTGCTTAATTCCTCCTCTGTATAACGGGGAGGGTCACGCCTCGTGCCAGCCTGAACAGCCCACAGGAAGTGAGTTGGGAAAAGTATTTTTCCCTCAGAACTTCAAATGTTTGGACCATACCATAGAAAACAAGTGGGTGTGCTTTGCTCACATAGGAGTCTAAGAAATAGAGTTGTCCCAGACAAATGGGGCAAACAATTCCCTGCTCCCTGGCCTGGCTCACACACACAGGGTGTTTCTCGTGCCATTTGTTGCTCTGGAGTCAGGAACATGGTTTATCCTCCCTGGACTTGTGCAGAGGGGGGTGTGTGAGCTCATCCTCTGCACGCTCGGGGCTGTGCTGCACAGATGAGCCCCTGCCTTTAGCTTTGTTAGTGTGTGTCAGGGTAATTGTCTCTGGATTTACACTCTGCTCTTCACTAATGCTCCTGCAGCTTTGTTTGGGTGTTTGCAGGCAGGAGATCTGAGGTGAAATCCAAGTCCTTGAAAGGACATTCCCCTTCTTGCTGTCTTTGCCAGTCCTGTACATCTGAGGCAGTAAAGAGGAATCAGCTTAGCAGGTTTTTTCTGGTCACTTGGGAGTTCTGAATTTTTTTCTTTTTTCTTGTCCTCCCTTCCAAAAAGGATTTAAATAAAGAGTGGTTTTCCCACACCTGTCCAAGTTCACAGTAGTCCCTTTCACCTGCTTTGTTCCTAACTTGGATTCACATTAAAGGATCAAAAATACTATGCTCTTCAAATTATAACCAGTGCCTGACACCTTTATCCTTTGTACATGAAAAGAAACTTGACTTCTGTTATGTTTTGTTATCCTGTCATGTTCTTCCTTTCCATTTTATCTCCTTTTTTGTGTGTGTCTCCTTTTAAATGGAGCTGTTCCTTCCAGTGGATTGTCCATGCCTCTCTGGGCCTGCTCTTGTCATCCCTTCAGTTAGATCAGCAAGTTTGACATTGCACGTCTTCTGATTTTATCTTAGAGCCAAGAAAATCCCCAAGTACAAACTTACTTATAATTTTCTTTGTGTAGCAGCTGTAGTTAGAAACCTGAAAGGGTTTTTTATACTAAAACATTACAGTGAGGGGGAAAAATCCAGAAGTAGAGGTGGTACTGCCAGATAACTCATGAGTGAAAACTTCCTGTGATGTAAATGTTTGTGAGCCTTCTCTGATGTGTGGGGATGAGAATTTGGTTTGGGTGAGCGAGTCCTACATGCACAGTTGTGTAGGAAACAGAGCTGAGAGAGAGGTTGCATATTTAACGTTACTTACAGTGAATTATTAGGTTAGATGAGAGAGCTTTAGCTGGAGGGTTTTAGCTTTGAAAATATCAGGGAGTTGTGTTCCCGATATTTTTAGGAGTGCCTCAGCCCTTCAAGCTTACAGTTGACGTCTGCCATTTTCACACACTTTATAGGATTCACTGGAATTGCTTAGGGTGGTCACTGAAGCCACAGGTCTGGAATAACCCCCCAGGGACCTTACAGGGTCTTGTGTACATGGTGGGTAATTTGAATTGCTGCGCTGGTGGTGTCAATGAGAACTCCCTCGCAGCTTGGCAATGGTTTGCTCCTCTTGCCACGTTTACACTTCTGTGTTCAGCTCTAACCGCTGCCAGGAGCAGTTCATGGCTTGTGCTGCAAGAGAAGGGCCTTTCTGCACTGTTACCTAAAAGCATGCCGTGGTTTTGAGAAGCCCGAGCGCAGAGGAGGTGATGGGGAGTTTGCAGGAGCCGCAGCCCCCGCTGTGTGTGCAGTTGTGTGCGAGCTGCTGTGGAGCCCCCCGTGTGCCTGCTGTGAGTCAGTGCTGCTTTCTGCTTGACCTCCTTTCTTGGCTGCCCAGGGCGTGTGCTGACACAGATCTGAGCACTGGGAGCTGGCTCTCCTGAGCACACACATGGGCAGTGCTGGGGAGTGTTTCCTGTGCTGGGGGAGTGGTGCCCCTCAGGCCGGGGGGGTCCTGCTGCTGCAGCGTTGGTTGGGGTGGGGGTGGCTGTTCTGGGGGCTCTCAGACTCTCATACATCTGTGGCAGCCCACGATTTCCCTGCCTGGGTCTGCAAGTGAAAGTTTGGTCATCTGAGGTCCTGTCCTGCTGCCTGCACTTCCAAGCAGCTACATGACTCTTTTTTTCTGGTTTTAGTGGCAATTCAGTGTTCATAGAATCCCAGAATAGTCTGGGTTGGAAGGGACATTGGATACTATCCAGTCCCACCCCCTGCCATGGGCAGGAACACCTTCCACCAGCCCAGGTTGCTCCAAGCCCTGTCCAGCCTGGCCTTGGACACCTGCATGGATCCAGGGGCAGCCACAGCTTCTCTGGGCAACCTGTGCCAGGGCCTCCCCACCCTCACAGGCAGGAATTCCTTCCCAGTATCCCATCTAACCCTGCCCTCTGGCAGTGGGAAGCCATTCCCCCTTTGTCCTGTCCCTCCATCCCTTGTCCCAAGTCCCTCTCCAGCTCTCCTGTAAGCCTCCAGTGTTCTTTACATTTAGTTGATCTGGAGTTCTTTATTTCACAGGTAAGACAAAGCAGGAAATTAATGGTGTCTCCATGTGTTTTGGCTGAGTACAATTTGAGTGTTGGGGGTTCTAACAAGCTGAATGGCAAATTTAATTCAGGCCACAAACATTGTGGGTTTATTTAGAATCAGAAATTATTTCTCATGGAGAAAGCAGCAGAAATATTCCCTCTCCATCATCTTTACTCTCTCATCCTGCACACAGGCCCATAGCCCCTCCAAAAGCAAACATCCCTGGTCCTGATGTGAGATGTCTTTCTCTCGTGCCTGACCCTGCTGGAAGCAGTGCTGATGATTGGCACTGGAGCTGGCAGTGGACAAACTGGCTTTTGACTCCTGCCCCTGAATAATCAGCCTGGACTTCCCTGGCTGTTTGCACACTGGCAAAGCTGCTCTGCAGACACTGGAGTTTTGCTCCCTTCCAGCAGCTGAGGATCTGGCCCAGGGTTACCCACAGGAGTCAACCATCCAGTACAGATAAAATCAAAATGCATCCCTTATTTCTCAATCATCCCAACATGTCACCAGTGTTAGGAGGCTTGTAGATGCAGGCTAATTGAAAACAGCTCCTTGCTGCTTTAGCTGCAGGAGAAGAAACTCTGGATGCTGGAGTTCA